AAATGTTTTTTTTTTGTAGTGATAACAATTACTATTATCTGAGCTTCAGAATACATGTAAATTAAAGTTATACAGTTTGAGCAACGAGTATTGCAATTAAATGAACATTTGTATAATTTGTAAAATGGACGTCAGTCCCCTGTTAAGTGGACAGAGGATACCCCCCTAGTAAATAATAAAAAAATAATTAAGAACTATATTTTCAAGAATATTGTAAAAATTTATAGTATCAACTTAGTATTATAATTTAGTTTTTAGTTTACAATATTCCTAAAACTTCTGTTATTTATATATTTATGAATCCCTTGAAAACTGGATTTTGTGAGTTTTGATCCAAAACAATTATTTCTTAATAATAAAATAAATAAAATTCTGGAAGAAGGTAATCTATATAAAATTGTCTTTCTTTCTGTTCTATTTTTACTAATTCTTTATAACAACCAGATATAAACTTTTTATAATTTTTAGATATCTCTGATTGAAATTTCTTATCTGAACTTTAATTGTTATTTACTGAATTCTGATTTATTTGATTTTAGATTTACCTCGGCCCCGGAAACGGTTAACTGAACTTTTGCTTAAAACAGCTCAGTGTGAACAAAGTGATGAAGGAAAAGTCTTTTGTCCTTCTTTTTTCCTAAAGCCTTATGAAGTTGTTTTCGATAATAACATTAAAGGAGTTAAATTCAACTTAAATGTGCTTAAAGATAATTTAAAGGTGATTTACATTGAAATAAAGAATTACGGCAGTTCTTTGTGATTTTCATAAAGTTTTTTTTTTTCATTCATTAGGGAATTGTTGAAACCACAAATCATTTTGAAGAAGTTCCATGTAATATATGCATTAGCAGTGTGGGTTATAAGGGTGTAAAGATTGATTCTGATATCCCTTTTAATAATGAAACAGGGACCGTCAACACCCAACCAGGTAATATATGTTATATTTAAACTGAATTTAAGCATTTGCTTTTTATTTAATTTAACTTAACTTTTTATAATGATAATCATATGCTTTGAATTCAACCTGCTAAGTTAATTATTCATAAAATAAAAATCTAATTTTCCAAATTTTAAATTGCACAAGACAAGGGCAACTGTGTTATTGAGAAATGTATGAAGAAATTAATAAAAATCAATTAAACATAATAATGTAATTCTGTTTTATATTTTATTAATCACACTAGTGGCACAAAATTGATGACAGTGTATGCTGTTCAGTCAACCTTGATAAATCTCTAACCATTGTAGAGTACACAATATTCTCTTGCCCCTTCCTTTATTATTCAATGTCCTTTTCTTTATAAGTGACGATTCCTTATTATTTATCTTTTCTTTAGTTATTTTCACATTTCTTTGCATTTATTTTTGAAGAAGAGTTAAGATGTAAAAAAAAAGATTCAATTAGTTTTTTGCATGTATCGGCCCCAGACTGGATGCTCAGGAGAACTAAACCTGGTACTGGTAAAAGTGGGGAGATCTAGATTGAGACAAATTCGACTAGATCACAGGATCCTGCAGCATATTCTTTATAGAATGCTCCCAATTTCCTGATAACATCAAATGGCCAGGAACCGTAACATAATTTTAATATCATGTAAGAAGAGTTGATCAGTATTAACATAAGTATTATACTGGAAAAACAAAATAAAATGCATGAGAATAAGAAGATAACTCCTTGTAGGAATGAGAATCTTAAGACTGAATAAGAAAATTTTGGAGCTGGTCCTAGGTCCTAAGTATTCAGCTTTCGGGTAGAATGAAAGGGGAGAGATATTGCAAGGACTGGGAATAGAACTCTACTAGATCTGGAGAGGTTTCCTTAATAGAAGTGAGATGACCATATTTAGCACAATGTTCCTGCCATTATTCCCTTCTCCTCAGCATCATGGACCCTTATCTAAAAGAAAGGAGTCAGATCCAGACAATGGAAAGCAAGTACAGGACGGACCACCAATTGGTTCAAGCTCTAATGTGGTTATCCTCTTACATCACTGCATTAGAAAATGATCAGGATATGATGATGATAGTTATATAACTGTTCGTACGACAATATCTTGTTATATGTAACAATCTAATTGTGTTGGTCTCTCGAAGAATGCTCCAAAATCGTCCAACTACGTAATGCCTTTGAAAATTTCAGTTGAAATGATTACTTAATATGGAATGAATGGAGACTTGTCAGCTTTTATAACAGAAAGTATTATTTTATAACATCATCTTACTCACTTCTCAACATTATAACATCTTTCTTCAGTTAGATAGCTATAGTAGGTAGCAAGACAATTTTTACTACACTTAACTGTGATCCTACTAGCCCTTAAGCAATAATTTTTTTTCTATTTATTCTTATCAATTTCTGTGTGAACTAATAATTATTTTAGGTGTTTATGGGAGTGGTTGGATATCAACTGGACCAGTTGGAGTTATACTATCTACCATGAACAATGCTTTTCAACAAGCTAGTTTATTGGCGAATGATATTCAAGCTAAAAAAATAAATACCGAAGAAACGAAACAAGGATATGAATCAATTAAGCAAATCTTAGTTAAAAAAGGTAGAATATTCCTTCGTAGTTTAAATATATTATTTATTATATTTTTAGTTAACCTTTATTTTAAGTTAACTGTAATTTCTGAGTAATTTCTATGTTTGGTTAGTCAAAAGCCTAACAGTACATACTATTTAAATTATGATAAGTATTTATTTAAAAAAACATAATTCCTAAAGCCTGTTCCTTTATTATGCGAGACAATTACATTTTCTTTGCCATTTTCAGCTTCTTTCTAAATAAAAAAAAAAAAAAAAACAGTCTAAAATCTTATAAAATTTTGTTTGTTTTCTATTTTAAATAATAATATTCCTTTCTCCTGCTGCCACCCTCAATAAAATTTAACATTTTATAACAATATTTTAGACAGTATATTTTGAAATAAATGTCTTCATCTCATGACAGCTCATTTTATAATTGAATTTGTTGCTGATTAAAAAGCATTATATTTTTTATTTAAGCTAAATAAAAATTCACTCAACATTTCATGCCCTCTGAATCCTGTCACTAAGGGCAAGTGCCCCCTTTATTTCCTCCCAGTAATTCTGCCCCCGATATCAGCTAGATTAATTCAGATTTACCTTCAAAAAACTTTTATATCAATATGGAATGCTGTTTAGAAAAACAGAAATTTACATGTGAACAGGGAATAAATAAATAAAACAAATAATATTTCAGTCTTGTAAGTGTATTTAAAAGAAATAATATCAATAATAGAAGTAATTCAATACATTTATAATAATGTACTAATAAGATCATTTCAATAGTAATTAATATTAGTAAATAGAATGAGATCTTATTTATATTCAATCTTTGGTATAAAATTGTACTTTGTTGTTTACAGGTGTACAAGTGGTGAGTTTTGAAGGATGGAGAAAAATAGACAAAGTGGAAATAGAAAAAGGAGAAAAAGTTGGAAAGCCTCGAGAAAAAATTGTTGATATTGCAGAAATGTTAAAAATTGGAGGAGAATAATAAGAAAGAAAAATGATGTTTTAAGTGATAAAATAAGAGTTCCTGAGTTAAATAGTGATGTAGAATTCATTAAAATATTTCATTACAATCTTATAGCTGACAAATGTTAGGTGAGCTATTTTTAATAAAATATTTTATTTTTAATTTGCAATGTTCTCTAATAAACCTAATCCAGTCTCTTATCTAAAATTCAATTATTGATTAAATGTCTTTTTAATGACCGTTTCTAACATTACAGTTTTACATAACATATATATTTAATTTATTTTAATCACATGGTACAAAATGCAATAAAGTTAAAGAATAGAAAGCTTTTGGCATGCCGCATTCTGCGAAACTAGCAATAGCTGGCCAATATCACCAAATGAAGATCTACAAAGAAACAATTGAAAGAAAAATCTCCAAATGCAATCATGGAATTGTTTCATTAGAAAAAAATCTAATAGTCCTTTATTAGATCGGCTAAAAAAGGATAAATGTGTGGATGGATACATTAAAATATAAATAAGAATATGAAAATATAAAACATATAAAAATTAACATATCAGTAGACTGTTATAAATTACGTTAAGATCTAAATAAAAGGAACATCATTGAATTTGTTACAGTTTAGGTGATTAACATCTTAAATAAACAATAACATGGGAATAGCTAATTGAGAAACTGTTAATTTTAAAACAATTTAGATGGAAATCGTAATAAGTTCTTTTTCTATTTTTTAGATAATTGTATGGAATTAATTGCCTTTCTTTGTTATTTGTATTGACAAAAAATTAAATAATTTTTTATTCATTATCTTTAAAACTAAATTTACATACTTATTTAATTATTATATACATACCTATATGCATATAAAATTTTGGTATCGGACTCAAAAACTATTTAATAATTTAATCAAAATTATATCCAACATAGCTATTTTTTTTTTTTTACAGTGTAACACTAAACCCTAAAATGACATACCAATAAAAGTTACAACCAACGATTCTTAATCATAAATCAAACCAATCTTAGTCAAATTCAGTTGTAACATGTATACATTTTTGATTAGACAGATTCAAATAGAAGAATTACATTAAGAAAATGCTACAGAATTGGCACTTGATCTTTGATGTACCTATAGTTTGGTAATATAAAAAAATGCTAATAGTATAACCTCAACATCAGTCATTTGCGAAACAAAATTGTATACAAATCTTTTTGATAATGTATCTATATCATAGTTGTCCATAGAAAGTTAATAATTTTGTTTAATTTGAACCTTAAAAAAGATTTCTTTTTAATATTTGTGTTTGTTAACTGTAAAATGAATAATATCTAATGAACCTTTATTGTTTTTAACTTACTTTCCTGGGTAAAATTTATTCAATTTTGTAATTTATTGAAAGTTTCTTTTTTAAATATGGGAGAAAGGACCTCTAGTGTAAGTAAACCTTAACTGGATATATTTAAATTGACTTTTTTTTTTTTTTTTTTGTGCAACTCATCTATACATTACCATCTTTCCTTCCTGATTTCTCCATTTGGTGTGATAATAAAAAAATTGCATATGGACACCATATTGTTACAAGCTGAATGCGAGCTCAAGCACCAAGCCCAATGAAAAACCTTGAAAAGAAGGGACATCACTAAAAATTATTTTATTTAAAAATCATAAACACCTAATATTTTCTAAATATAATTTTTAAAAATACCTTAAAATATCACAGGCTAATAAATACCTATGAATCTTCAAAAGAATTCATTAATATCTCAGCAACTTCCAAATCATTAAATGTGTCAATTTCAAGGCTTAGGTTTGCAGGTATTTCTACAACTCCCAATCTGGAAAACAAATTCCTTCAATTTACAATAATGAGCATGATTGAATTTTGATTTCTATATAAATAATTAGTTTCTATTCTACAACAAATTGAAAAATTTAAATGATTACATTAAGGTGACACTAATTTGGTAAGATGACTATTATTCCTTCAGTTAACCTTTTTTAAAAAATTTCATGATATACTTAAAAAAGTACTCTAATTCATTTATACAATATAATATTATCAAGTCTATTCAATACACAAAATTTAAAGTAACTATTTACTTAATAATGATGTAGAGATGGTTGACCGTTGATATAATATGAGAAGGAGTTAATTGGGGGGTGCGGTCAAATAAATACTAAATTAAAATATAGTAATTATTTAATTTTGGCCGACGTTTCGACCCACTTTGCAGGTCCTAGGATGTAGCACATCCTACATGTGCTACATCCTACGCCCTGAAGACGACCTGCAAAGTGGGTCGAAACGTCGGCAAAAATTAAATAATTACTATATTTTAATTTAGTATTTATTTGACCGCACTCCCCAATTAACTCCTTCTCATATTTACTTAATAAGTGAAGCCCGCAGTTTAATAGTTAAGCAATAAAACAAAGCTATCTCTGAACTTACACTAATTTATTACTGTACACACTCATGACCTATTTCCTTGTTGTATTTCTGTCACTAAGAGTGTGTATAGAAGTCTATTACTGAGAGTATAGAGGCGATACCTGGATTTTTTATTTATTAAATATATCAAAATGTTTATTTATGTATGAACCTTACAGTTGACAGAATGACTGACTCCAATTTCAACATTTTTTATAATTAATTTTAGTGATATTTCTAGTGGGATAATTGATACCTTTATTCACAGTTCTATATTTAAACACTGCAATCACCTACTTTGGAATCAAGTTACTCACAGTCTGTACACATATTATAAATTTTCCAACTAGAAATATCACGAAAATGACATTACTCAAAAATGTCAAAATTGGAGTTAGTCATTCTGTCAACTGAAAGGCAAATATTATCCAAAGTGCCCAAGGGATCATAGATCTTTCTTTTTTTTTTTTTGGTAGATTTTTAGACTAAGATAAAAAGCAAAATTTTTGAAACCTATGCAAGCGATAAGTATCCCATTTACGAGGCATATGGTAAGAATTACAATACATCTCAAAAACAGGACATTTTTGGGCTCTGAAATGCAGGGATCATAAGTTTCTTTGGATACAATAAATACAATTTATCTTGTCTCAAATTGTTCACTCTGAAACCATCAGAGTGAAACTTCTCAATTTTTTTTCAATTATGTACTTTTATTACAGTTGTTGAAAGAATTGAAGGATTAACATTGGGATTTGTCACTTCTCCCTATAATTTCCTTCCATTTGATGCCTCACTCAACCAAATCCATCGATCTACATCAGTACTCCCATATTATATATAGTGTAGATAGAGATCTGCAGAGGAAATACAATAAAGAGGAAAAAAATGTATATGCATGTTATACATTGAGTATATACACAAATAAGGGTATTAAAGATTTATAGCTTCTAATCTAGTAAAAATTAAATTGTATAAAACAAAAATAAGAAAATAGAAATAGCTGTATTATATGCCAATGATCAGATATTTAAATAAAGATATAAAAGTTAATAAAGCTTAACAATGTAACAATACAAATTAATAAATAAAATAAGCATGATTTTAAAAAAAAGGTGCATTCTATGTGTTTTTCTAGACGTTCGCATACAAGTTATTTCTTATCAATTCTGGAAAAGTGGAAAATTTGATATCAAAGGATAACAAGATAATAAGAAAACATTTTATCATTAAAAAAAAAAAAAAAATGCTTTTGCACAGAATGTTCCTTTCTTACTTTCCTCCTTGTAAAATCATAGAATGTTTCAACATAAATGCATCAGTGAAATAAAACATTCCATTTTCAATCAGCTCTCCATCCCAATCTTGCCTCCTTGGTCTGTGATGAAGATCAAAATTTTCTGGTTGAAGTTGTCCAGCTACAAAAAATAAACATTGAAGAGTAATGTCATTGAAATTTAGTGTATTAAAACAACTGCAGTTTTAAAAATGAAAAAAATGGCATGTATTTATATATCACTGTAACAATTTTAAAAAAAATACTATTAATATATTGTAGCAATGGTCTTACATGAATTATAGCCCCATCTCAACTTATGTTGCCTTGTTACAGAGAATACAGAATCTATGTTGTTATTTAACTTTCTGTATGCCTCTTCTAGATATTCAACTTTTAAAAATGGTGAAGTACACTGAATAACACCAATCTTTGTAACTTCTAAAACATGAAAAAATAATAGTACAATATATTTGATTATATAATTTAGCACATATCGACATTAGACTAATTATAAAGAATAGGAAGTAGATTTGGGTCAATCAAAGACTAATGTATGTCTTAATGTTAATTAATTATTAACTTAGCAGTTCGGATTACAAATAATTGTTTGCTGATCCTTGTTTAGTTCTGTTCAAATAAGTAAAAAAAAACATGAATCGTTTATCACCATTATAAATTTTATTACTTTTGAATTAAAATCATTTGAATGGGCTAGGTATTAAAAGTAGAAAGTCCATTTTCTATTAATTGTTTCTGAATATTATATGAATTTGAAGAAGAGTTATTCATTGTAGTGTGATACAAAACTTTCCAAGATTCCTCGTGGCACATGTAAGACCTTTTCTCTTACGCCATACCCACATGAGGAAGTAGCTAGGAAATTGGTAAAAAGGTGTCACCCAAATGAATGAAAGAAAAGGGAACAGAAAGAGTAGCGACACTGTTGCCACTATGTAATCACAAGGCACCATAGCCGCTATCTTTCATTTTGGTTGGATGACCCACCTTGTCACCAATCTTTAAGCTAGTCAACATGAAAGAACAATTCAGAAAACTACTCTGGCGAATTTATTAAATTAATCCTATTTTTAATCCAATTAATTGATATTTTCAACTGATAATAACAAAGTAAAAACTATACCATCATGCTTTTCGAGAAACTCATTTACAGCTACGACTGTGGATGCAGAATCTGAAGCTGTGTATGACGGTCTCCAATGTACTGAAGCTTTACCTCTTTTGGCTTCATTTGCAATCACAATATCATCAGTAGACACCCAAATGCTATCAAATTCTAAAATTTCCATTAATATTTAATGTTTAAAACTAATTGAAACAAAAAGGTATTAAATTTAATCAGCTGTCATGATAACTTACTTCCAAATTCAGTCATAGTACGTAAGGCTCTACCCAAGAGTGTTATATTTTTAATCTTAGCAACATTTTTGTGGGGTAAGCCTTTACTACCACCTCTTGCTAACACCAACCCAGCAAAGTGAGAAAAACTTGTGCTTGAACTTAAAACAAAAACTCCATTAGTAGTCTGGTTTATAAAATTGAAATCAGTTGAATATAATAGCAGTACCTATTGTGCTCCTGAATTAATGGTTCTTGTTGTATATCAAATATGTGAGCAAAGTATATTGAAAATATAGTAAAAATAAAGAAACCAAATATTAACCAAATTAGAAATCTACCGCTTGTGTTCCTCATTGTCTGATTATCTTAAAATATCAATATGGTAACATCAGTCTTAGAATATAAAAAACAATTAGTTATTTCATTGATTATTTGTAACCTTGCCCGAGTATAACCTTTTCTATACTAAGAAGTCGCATTATGAAGGTGTAGAGGTATTCATAAGTAATCTTACACTTGTTCAGTGATCACTGAGTAAGGATATGAAACAATATTTCGTCAAACAAAATTTTTTGTACTAATTTTTTTTTCCAAATTGCAGTTCGGATACAAATACTCGGGCTTGCAAAAGGAATCCAGAGTAAAATATAAGGATCTTTCAGACAAACACTTAACATAAGGAAAATTTAACAAATAATTAGCAGCGGAATGTATTGAAACGAATAATCTCCACTTTTGGAAAACATGAGATTATTTTGATCCGGTGCTGCTCATGTATTGTACGATATTACAAGTTATGTGAGTATATGTACAGGTTCACCGCGTAGGTTGGGCTAATGGATTTATTTAAAACTATAATATGATTAGCCAAGGGTTGAAACAAACGACCTCAATTTTTGGAGGTGGGAAGTAAATTCCTTGGTCGTGAGAGTACGTGATACCTCAATAGAGTGTATTCACTGAAAGCTTCATGAAATGAGGATACATTTAGATAGAATGATTGATGTCAGAGCAATGGGTTCGGAAATCGCTATCGGGCAGTGATTTTAGAAATGAACTTAGAAAAATCGCGGAACAGTTGCAAATGAAGAGACATAGGTTAGAGTGGCTGTAAGTTTTCTGGGACAAAAAGTTTTCTGTCCTTCATAATTTTATTTCATTTCCACTAATTCTTGCAATAAGAACAATACCGTAATAATTTTTAGTATTAATTACGAAATTTTAATAATTTCGAGACAGGTCATAGACTAATATTACAGCACCAATTCTTTATTAATATAGTTATGATCGTTCTTCCTAATTTTTATGTGTGAAAAGAGTATCTAACTTGGTATACGATGACAGGTGAGTTTTTTTTTTTTTTGTTTGCTTTAAAAATGTTTCTCCACCTCACTAGGCGTAAACGTCAGATATATTTTTTTAAGGATGCTATAAAAGTAGAGGAACCTCAGCGCTTAACAAAAGGAGATTCAGTCTTTAAGCGATAAGTTGAAATTCCGTAGTTTGCATGGAATCTTTCTCCATATGACAAATATGAATGATCTGTTTGAATAGTCTTTTTTACAGGATTGTATTCAACGGAAATACTTCTTATCGCTTTCTGATCCTTTTACAAACTACAAAGTCTACTATTTGTTTCTATTGCTCTGCGTAAATGTGCCATTAACACACGTGTAAATATTTATTCCTCCGTCACCATTTACCATCTGTGCCGTTTGCAAGGATTGGGAGATAATTATTTTAAGAATATATCGGGTGGAACACGGAAAATAAATATTAATGAATAATTCATAACTCTCTTCTATCCGAACTTGAGTTAGGAAAACAATCCTAGACTAAGAAATCTATGTAAAATATAACAAATTTTTTTTGAGATGAAAATATAGCTTACTGTTAAAATTATCAGGATGACAAATAATCAAGATAACAATAAATGATAAGCTTAATAAAAAATAAAATTACAGGATATCATGATTTTTTTGCAGCCCATATTAGATTGCGATTTCAGAACAACCTGATATATCAGTTTAAGTGTGGTATAATATATTTGTATTAGATTTTACATACATTTAAGATGTGAGACCCACTGATGTAGTTCCTTCTTTAATGGAGAATGCCCTAATTGTTACCTGCATTTTTAGAGTAAATTTGCCAACTAACGATTAGTGTGTCTGTATGGTGGATGGTTAGTAATAAAACCGCCAAAGGAACAAAATATAGTATAGATGGGCGTTTGGGTGTTCACATACGATTTACAGGCTATGGATTCCTGATATTTATTTTTCATCCTCCAGTCCATATGCGAGATCTTCATCAACCTTTCAGTTCAGCACAATATGGTACTATTATGCAACTGCAACCAGGGCCGTCGCGTGGGTTTTCAGCGCCCGTGGTGAAATTTTGCCGGGCGTCCCTCCTCTACTCCATTCCAAATCTGCTAATACTCTGTTACCCCATGTTTAAAAAGAGAAAGTGAGATACATATAATAATAAAGAGATGACAATGATAATAAATAGTTTTATTCCTGTCTCCCCTGCGTGCGTTTCTCTATTTGTTCCACGTGGGTGAAATAGAAGGTTCTTGGACGTCATCTTGGTCTTTTTTTCAAGGGTCTCACTTCCATACTTTTAATTTGGTTTCTGTGGTGATCCGTGCGGCAGAGGTTTCCATGCTGATTTAGTTGCCTCTTCTGTAGGGTTTTCGTTAACGGACGTGCATTCAGCAACAACATAATCATAAAACCAAAATTAGGAATCGTAGAAAAAAGGACATTGAACAGTCAGCTAAGCCTGGCCTTGGAGAAAAATGATAATAGACCAGAAGCTACCGACCATTTCATTTAACGGAAGGACAGCTAGTAACCATTTTAAATTCTTGTTAAACCTCATTTGAACACACAACTTCGGTCATTCGATCGAAAGCCGTTGCTTTATATACGAAAATTTGAATAAAAGATGCGAAATTTGACGGTTCATTTTACGGAAGAACTAACGGCTGAAATTTGGATATGATGTAAAAAAAATATGTCCCTATTAGTGAATTCAACTTGACTGACGATGTACTTTGTCTTTCTTGTTTTTTTTTTATGCACTTCATGTTGACACGATTACATATGAGAACATTAAGCGGCTGTTAAAGCGGATGGAGTCGAAGGCATATTTCACTCGTAGTATCTGCCGCTCGCAACTTAAGCGCTTGTTATCCTTTCAATGGTTTGGATTCGGCTAATTTAACTATATTTATAACAAAACTAGAATGAATAAACTAATTACATAGCTTTTATAAGTTCTGTTGGAATGAAAATCATCGAAATTCATAATAATCAAATACTTGAGGACCAAAATGTGCTTCAAAGCCAGAGCGCTCTAATAGCTGTTAAACTTTTCGTATATTAACGATTATACCGAAGCACAATAAAAAGTTGGATGCACTGTTGGTAAGGAAAACCAGCAGACCAAGGACCGCTCCATGCGTCTGTTGTGGCAATAATGAATGAATTTAATAATGATTATTACTTCCGTAAACTTTTCATAATAATCGTAAAAGAATAGTATTATAAACATAAATTGGTTTCTTTGTTGAATGGCTTTAATGTTTGTCTCCCACCCCGCTAACTGGACTGCCCTGACTACAGTCTAGAAGGAACAGTCTTGTCGTGCTCATAAACTCTACATTTATTAAAATACATAGTAAACATTAAATTAAATAGTTGGAATTTTGTATTATAATTGAAATATTAAACCTATTTCGTGTTAGGCGATAGTTATTATTGAAATGCACCTGATTAGGTGAATTTCTTGGGAATGCCACCCATCCATTTGTCACTTCTGAAATATTGTTATTATTAATTTTACTTGTTAGATTATGTAGCGCACTTTTCAGTTCTATCTCTTTGTTTGGTTGAATAATTGCTACTTGTTATGTCCGTTTATATTATATAGTTTCATAGGACCTATTTGAATGTGAAGTTTTCATTATGTCGATAGAAGGTTTGATTTTATTCAATTAATTCGACCTTTCATGCTAATATTCCACTTTTCCACAAAAATTAAATCTTTACATGACAAATTTAAAATCGTCCCACAGAAATTCATTGTTAAAATAGCTATAGTATTGGATTATTGTATTGAGACATGTCCCTATTTATTAAAATTAAAACTCTGTATCTAAAACATATTAAGAAAGCTGTTTGTTTTTTCTGTATTTCATGTATGAATTATTGTTACAGTATTCTTAAACAGTACTTTCTCCTTCATAATATATCACTAACTATTATTTATTCCATTGTAAGGAATCCACTTGAGTTAAATGTTCAATATTAAAAATATATACTACTTCAATATTACAAATATTTGAATAAAATTTCAGTTTCTAAATTAAAGTGCAATTGTTAATTTGAACACCCACATTCATATAATTTAGTCCTAAGTCCAATGTTATTAAAAGTTGATGAAACAACTGAATAATATAGCAAATTTATGAAATTTTTTTGTATAAAACTGACTCAATCCTTTATAGTTATAGGTAATCAAAATGATGAAATTAAAATAAAACAAGAACAATTTGAAGGTGATTTTCTATTTATCTGAACAGAAAAAATAATTAAATTACAATAACTAATTAATGATTAATTAATTTTAGATGATGAGCAAGAATGTTATGATTACACCCATAGCACGTTTAATGGTAAGTTATATACCTAAAAGTTAAATTTGGAACACACTGTTTAAGGGGGATTTAAGTATTAGTTCACAAATGTCACCTTGTTTATAGAGGTATTAAGATCATATTAATCATACTGCAGATGAAATACCAATAGTAACAGAGTGCTTATATGTTCACGGTTTACTCTGTCAAGAGGTAAACAAATCCCCAATGAGATTTTTCATTTGAAGTCGGGTCTTTATTTTTATCATTGGGGATGGATCCTTTTTAGTTCATCATCAAGTAAATTACATTATTTACTTCTAAGGAAGGTTTGGTTATTGGTTATCACCATATTTATTTTTAACACACTTCAGGATATCTATTTTTAGTTTGATCTATATGATCTTGATCCATCAGTCAACAAGATGTGAAATTTGTGAACCAGTAACATGATTTCTAATGTATCAATAGTTTTGGTTTTTTTTTTTTTTTTTTTGTGGGTTGATTAGATATGGACTATCTGATTAAGAGAATAAGGATTCTCATCCATGGTCAAAGTGAAAGGCAATAAATAAATTGGGTACTAGTTCACATGAGTTTTGCACGGATTACACGTGGTTCACAATCACTTCGATCACACTTGTTCATGCAGTACCGAATGCATTCGGGTTTATCCGAAAGAGAACGAAGGCGACCAATCTCTTGATTCAGTTACTATTAACTTTCCCACCATTTAAGTACTTCTATAACCTTAACCATGTTCAGTAATACAGCAGGAGCTGACTTATATTCGAAATTTAGGCTACATCATTCAACCTTATTCCGACTTGTACCAGTATTATACAGCTGTGGAAAAGAAATAGTAACAGATAAAACGCTTTAATTATTATATCTTTGAATGCTACTTTACGATATTATTTTTCTTATTGATGATTTCCATTATTCATTATTTCGGAATAATCAGATATTCTTCATCAGTTGTTTCCCCAATACATTAATTCCTTCTTCGAAAATAATTTTTTTTAAAACAAATTACTACAATAAGTCTATTACTACAATAAGTCTGCATTTTTGGATTACTAAGCATAATAACTATGAATAACTACAATTTTATGAGAAAATAAAAAAAAAGTTAACAGCATAGTCCAACTAACTGGCAGATCTACAGATCCCATTGGGATTGGACATTCTTGGAATAAATATTTATCTATATAATGATTAATAGATACATCTTATTAATATTTTCTACTATTCTCGTGCAATCTTTAATCTGACATTATTTTTATAAAAAGAGTCCTTGACAACATAATAGTGGATTCTTATATCTAAGAAATCCAAAACGCTACAAAAACTCGAATGAATTATTTCAAAGCTGACAGTATATTCATAAAAAGCTCCGACGACTAGAAAATAGTGGATCTGTATATCTATGAATTTAAAAAAGTTACATAAACTTGATGCTCAATCTCAAATCAGACAGTATTTCCATAAAAAGGGCCGCCCACTAGAAAATAGTGGACCCTCATATTATTCGAAATCCAAAAAGTTACATAATCTAGATAGACACTTGTGAAATTCTAAAAAGGCTTGGTGAAATAAATTATAAATTCAATTATTCCAATTCCTGATAGATCTTCAACAGACTATCAAACCGCTCATAACCCTTCTAACCAGACTCCTTTCCGAAATCCCGCTTAGCTTCCCTCGATGAACACGAAGTCCCTAGCTATTCTCTTATGGAACGCTAATGGACTGCAAAACCACCGTGACGAACTAGACATATTTCTCCATGACAATTATATTGACATTGCTCTCCTGACAGAAACTCACTTCACCCAACGGACACATTTCTACATACGTGACTACATCACCTATAGATCTGACCACCCAGACAACACTGCCCACGCCGGTTCTTGCATCCTTATCCACAAATCTTTACCCCATTCACTTATTCCTTCTATTCCAACAGATGCCATTCAGTCAACTTCTGTAATCCTCTCAACTCGTCCTTTCCATCTAACACTTTCAGCTGTATACTGTCCTCCTGGCAATTCCCTCTCGTACAGCCTACTTGAATCCTTATTACAATCCCTCGGATCGCGCTTTATTGCTGGAGGAGACTACAATGCTAAACACCAACGATGGGGTTGTCGATCATCCAACTCCCGTGGTAATACCCTTTCACAAGTTTCTTCTTCCAACAATTATTCCATCCTCTCGCCCATGAATCCTACTTATTTTCCAACATCCCTCAAAAAACGTCCCGATATCCTGGACATATTTATCACCTCCCAGATTTCCTCCTCCCAAACTATAATCAAATCACTGGATGACCTTTCTTCAGACCATAGTCCAGTTCTGCTTTCACTACATTCTGACTTTGCTCCTAAACCATCACTTCCTAAACTGATCACTGGACGAGTAAACTGGGACAAATTTCGTGATGATTTGGAAAACAAACTCGACCTCAAAATCCCGCTAAAGACAAAAGAAGACATTAATTGTGCCATAGAAAAACTGACATCATCAATAACAGACAGTATAAATAATAACACATTTATCAATAAGATTAACTTCGCACAAAATACTAACTTGCCACAGCATATTCGTATCTTATTACAGGAAAAACGCAGAGCAAGATCGAAGTGGCATAGGACTAGATACCCAACAGATAAATCGCATTACACCCAACTGACTAACAAACTGAAATCAGAAATAAGAAAATACAAAATTCAAAATTTACTAAATTTTACTGAAAAACTTTCAACCACTGACAAATCATTATGGATGACCACCAAAAAACTTCTTAAGTTTCAAGACTTTAATCACCCACTACTTACTGATTCCCAAACCTGGTCCAAATCCGACGAAGAAAAAGCCCAACTATTTGGTCAACATCTCTTCCAAACTTTTAACCCACATCCCGATATCCTTAATTCGACTCACATCAATTGTATTGAGGCAGAACTGGATATTCCTCTCCAAATGTCTCTGCCACCCAAAGCATTTCATCCCATAGAAATATCCAACATCATTCAAAAATTGCCTTCCCGTAAAGCTCCTGGACATGATCTAATTACATCCCAGATCCTAAAACTTCTTCCTCGAAAAGCCATCCTATTCCTTACTTACATATATAATGCTGTACTCCGTTCTACATATTTTCCTGATCCTTGGAAACGATCTATTGTTAAAATGATCCACAAACCCAAAAAACCACCAGAATACCCATCCTCTTACCGTCCTATCTCTCTTTTACCCATCATGGGCAAGATCCTAGAAAAACTCATCTTAAAACGCCTGTACCCTATCCTAAATTCTAAACACATAATCCCAGATCACCAATTTGGTTTCCGAACTTCCCATTCCACTATACAGCAATGTCATCGTGTGGTAGACGTAGTATCCTCTGCATTGGAGCGCGGAATGTACTGTACGGGAGTCTTTCTCGACGTTGAACAGGCGTTTGATAGAGTTTGGCACCCGGGACTGCTGTACAAACTCCGAAAATTCCTACCACCTACATACTTCCTCATTATCCGTTCTTACCTTACTGATAGATACTTTAAAGTAAATCACAATAACACCTATTCATCCCTTTTTTCCCAGTCCGCTGGTGTTCCTCAAGGTAGTATCCTAGGTCCTATCCTCTATACAGTTTATACAGCTGACATCCCAACCCATCCCAACACTGTCATCACCACATATGCCGATGACATATGTATCCTATCAGTAAACAATGACCCAGCAATTGCATCCCAAATGCTTCAATCACACATCATAAATCTAGAAGAATGGTGTCAAAACTGGAGAATTAAAATAAACTCCAATAAATCCCACCAAATTACCTTTACCCTTCGTCGTAAACCAACAACTTCCTGTCCTACAGTTTCCTTTAACAATACTCCACTTATCCCTGTTGAGCAAATCCGATACCTAGGACTCCACCTGGACAAACGACTAACTTGGAATCCTCATACTAGACTGAAACGACAAGAAACCGCTCGACGTTTCCGATTACTTCAGCACTTACTAGACAAACGCTCTAAACTTCCCATTAATTACAAAAGACTCATATACTTGACTATAATAAGACCTATTTGGACTTACGGAGTTGAGCTATGGGGCTCCACTAAACCATCGAATTCCTCTCGCATCCAATCCTTACAATCCAAAATCCTTCGTAAAATCCTCAATGCTCCTTACTTTGTCACTAATAAAATTATCCATAAAGATCTTAATGTTCCTTATGTTTCAGATCTGGCCCAATCCAGATACCTATCCTTCCATAATAAACTTCAGAATCATCCCAACCCTCTCGTTTCTAACCTTGCTTCCTCTTCAATTCCTGATAACCCTCCGAGGCGTCTGAAAAGAAGATGGCCCCGTGATCTCCTAATGTAGTCATATCATTAGAGTGCTACCATTGGGTAGTTACTCAGCAAGTGTATTCATGTCATTATATCAATTATGTTCAAATTTACTTGATGTATTTATGTAATACAGTTGTAAATGTCATAAAGAAATAAAAAAAAAAAAAAAAAAAAAAAATTATTCCAACTTCTATTGAAAAACTCAAAAAACAAATAAAAAGATAACAGATAACTTCAGATTATTTATTATCCAAATGATTAAAAAAAAATCTTTTATACACAGTTGTAAAAAATAATATACTATTGTATATGCGTATTTACAGCCACTATGTAAGTACGTGTAAATAAAAAAATTATTTCTAAAAGCATTTTTTTTTTTAACAAGCCTCGAAGGACGACAAACATTTTATAATCTATAAGGAATATTTATAATTTATAAGGAATATCTTATAATTTATAAGGAAAATAATGTCAGATTAAATATTTTTTCTTTTTCTTTCAGAGTAATAACCGTTATAATAAAAATTAGTAAATACATAATTCATTAATAAGGAAGTTCCATGATGGGAATACTTTTTTTTTTTTTTTTTTAAATGCATGAAAAAAGGGGTTGTTTGTAATGGGGCAATTGCTGACGTCATAAAAGACAACATTTGGCTGTTTTCGGAATTCCATGAACAAGTGTGATGATAATGAACCAGGTGTAATCCGTGCGGAACACATATGAACTAGTACCATAAATTGTGTTGACTACATGTACATACAAATGTTGCAAATTATAAAAATCTTCTATTAGTAATTGCTATGTAAAAAGTTTTGAGGAAGAATAAGAAAATAGATACAAACGTAGTTCCTATTGAGTAGCCCAATGAGAATAGATCTTGAGAGTTCTTTAAGAGTTGCTGATTGAAACAACAAACCAATGGTATATTGTTTTGAAGCCTTCTTTGGTCAAGGCTGAATACTAGCTATTATTAACATGATAGTAAATATCTATTAGTAATTCAAATTATATTACAGTCAAAAAGGATCCTAGAATTCTATAACGAAAAATTGAAAGTTTTAAGAGAAAAATTCTTCACATGATTACCGGAACAATTTGGCATCAGAGTACTATCATGTTCAGGAGAAAGAATAATAAAGAACTGCCTACATAAATTGATTGCATTATATATGAAAGCAAGGATGTTGAGATTAGTGGGGAATCTAGTTTGAAGTAATTCATCAGGAAGTCTCTGCAACAATGAGTAATGAAAAAGTTGGTAGAGACTACGTGGGAGGTCGAAAAAAAAAAAAAAAAAAATATGGATAAATAGAATCAATAAAGATGCTGGAGAGCTAAATACAGCAGTATGGAAAGTAGCAAAAGATAAAGATGGAAATGGCTATTTCAGGCAGTCAAAGATCAACAAGGTCTGTAAATCCAACAGAAATATATAAATATTAAGTAAGTACAATTAATGGTATATAAATGTTATTAGCTTTGAAAACTAAATGAATTAGTATAGATCTCTCATTCCATGAGTTAAAAACATCTGAATAAAATTTATACTACAAATTTTATAGCTTCATTTCATTGCATTCTAGGTAGTAATGACCTGTTAGACGTTACTACAGTGAAAGAAGAAATCAAGACTGAGTCTTCAAATGAGCCATGTAGTAGGTATACTTTATTTGTAATATGTGGTTTGAAACAATTAAAAGAAAAAAAAATTGTTTTAAAATCTATCAGAGGTTAACATAAATCAAAATAATTTTTAATGATATAAATCAGCATCTATAATCTATTTCTTCTCCAAACCTTTTATTTGCTTGCCAACATTTTGTAATACAACTATCTATTATTATTTTTAATATTCCCCCTCAGGCATTTTGTCCATGAAAGGTGATGAACACAAACTACAAGCTGCCATACATTAATGCTTCCGAAGATGAAATCTTTAAACTCCTTCATCAATGCATTAATGGAAAAAAAATCGTTTAAAAATAATAAAATTTCTATAAATGTTCTTTCCATTTTAATTTATGTTTTTTTTTTTTTTTTTTGTTGATAGCTGAAAATGTATACATGGTGTTACCCCAGATTAAAGATGAGATAAAAAAAGAAAATTCAAGAGACAATTCTTTACCTTGTAAGTATTTTTTATTGTCAGAGCCGATGGGTAGTTATTTAATTTGTTTAACTATTTATCAACTAGAAAGGCCTCATATTCACCGCCATGGACTATTTATCAGATGAATAGTTGTGGCCAATATCACACATATTCATGTGATAAAGCATGTCAGGAATACAACTCAAGGTAGTTGTCACGTTTTATGTATCTAATGGATGCGAGGCCTAAGGTAGAAGTATTTAATCATTCTAAAAAATGTCAAGGTCTCTACTAATCAGGGATTGCTTATTAAAACATGTCGTCTATTCTTTAAGGTATCTTTAATTTTTTCATAACACTTATTTTTTTTTTAATACATTAAGAATAACAAGACTTTAAAAAAAAAATTGTTACTTAACAATATGGGAAGCAAAATAAACCAAAATTATACATTTTAACTAATATTTTTGTAGTTGTTTTATTCCAATTTTTATTTTTATTTTATTTTTGAAAATAATTTTTTTTTTCAGTCCCTGATGTTTGTAATATATGGCTTGATTCTACCCAAGAAGATCAGTATTATCCTGAAAATTGTAAAGGTATAGTATTAATTTGTTACGGGTTTTCACGAACTGTTTTATGATATTGCTAGTTTGAAAGAATCCGCCAGAACTAAAAAAATAGCTATTTTCCAATTTTGGTTAATCATAATCAATAAGATGATTTTTTCCACACTGACATCATGATAAGGCATTACTAGAGTTATGTTTTTGATAAACATTAAAAAATGCATGAAAATCAGCTATTTAAAGAAAAGAGGTCTTCTTAATAAGTTGTTATAATGTTGAATGTTAAAATTTTGGCTATGATAATTTATCACAAAATTAATTTCTGTTTTTGAAACTGGATCACTACTTCTTTATTCAATGAGTGCATACTGATAGGATTTCATTCATAACTAAAAGCGTAAAATAATAAGTTCTGAGAGAGAGAGGCAGACTTGGCAGATAGTTGAGGAGTACAGAGAAATGAGAAATAAGGAAAAACAGCAAATAAAAGTAAAAAAAAAAAAAAATTGGATAAGAAAAGAGTTAGAAGCAGCCAGAAAATTAAAATTAGGGAAGATCTATGTACTGTCATTCAAAGAAAGAATACATTAAGCCCATCCACTTGACCTCACTATTGTTGAAAAGATGTGTATGAACCAGTGGAAGGATAACTTTACAAACATTTATTAAAGGATGACAATCAACCCTTCTGCCATATAAGGATGTTTAGCTAATGGATAATGAACAGATGACTTTTGAACCAGAGAAGTTAAAAATATCAAACCACAGGAATAGATGATGTAGTTGTGAAGCTTATTTAGTATGACTTGTGAGACTAGCATGTAGAGCAGAAATCTGGAGAGTAAATAAAGATGTATATCAAAGTGTACTCTTAAGTCCTCAGGATTGAGTCAAGAAGATCCTTGAAAATTTTTGGAACAATATTTATTGATGGAAGTTAAGGATGGAGAACCAATGAAGAAAGTAAAACCTCTTTGGCAGGCTCTGTTTAATTATATGATACCGACTGAGGCTGGAGATGTGACCAAGATAGATCAAGGGAAGATTACCAATTACTATTGACAGAAGTCGCTCATGGGTTGAGCAGAGCAGACTAACCAAGTCCTCAGTGGATCAACTGTGTGGTTGCTGATGCAAAGAGGTTGGGAGTCTGCAACTTGATGACAGCAGCACTGAATCGAGACTCCTAGATAGAAGAGGCCTATATGTATCAATATGTTGTTGCTCCCAATTAATAAGATATATTAGTGATGAGAGTGAATGTGTATTACAACAGAAAATAGCTGATTGAATTATTATGGTTTCATATTTTATCAGTAAAATATTAATTTTTAAATAACATACTTCTTTAAAACTAAATTATATTAATTTGAAATAATTTATTTTAATTATTTTTCAGCTGAGCCTGAAGAAGATGATAGCCTTCAAGAAGATGGGCTGCCTGACTCTATGCAGGAGTATTTCCCGGATATAATGCCACATTTTCTAATTGAAGGTATTCTTAAAACATTGATAAACCATTTTTCTTTTTAAGTGTTGATTGTGTAGTAAATAATGTTCAAACAAACTAAAGTTGACTGCCATGCATTGAATAAATACTCAGGATTTTTTATTTTACAGCTTTAATTATTTTCTAAAAAGCATATACTTAGCGACAAAACTAAAAATATTTGTTTACCACAGCTGATATTAATTTGATTACAGAGAAGTGTTATTAAAATATTTACACTTGGTAAACAATTGTGCTAAGCAGGTTGAAAATTGATTTTCTATTATGAATGAAGCCAGTTCAAATCTTGATGTGGCAATTAAGGGATAATATTTGGTCAAAAACAAAAATTGAACTTATGTCCATTTTCTTTATTTAAATACACACTCAAAATTTAAAATCAAACTCACTTTGTTACAACTCAGATCACTTCAACACCCTAAGTGGATTTTCAGGAATTATTTATTCTCCATGATCTGACAGTAATGCTGGAAATTTCTCTTACTCAAAAGTTATTTAGGACCAAAATCGAGTGATGTGTCAAGGTTTAAATTAAGTAATATTTTGACATGCAACCATAAATCTCATAATGATTAATTTATATTCTTATATAGAAATTAAAAAAAGATAATGATGACAGCTAAAAGATGGCGAAAGTGGGAAGAAAATGAACAATTGCAGCACTTGTTTTTAAAATAAAAAAATTATAGCAACTGCTGAGAAAGTTGAAAAAACATGCTGGAGCAGAGGTACGTTATATTGAATTAAAATAATCTCAACCATTGCTTTAACATCAACACTAATATTCTTCGATATTAAAAAAAAAAAACCTCGCTGACTCAGTCTATCAGTAGTTCTAAATCATCTGGCTCCTTCCTTTTGATATTATAAAAATTTCATCACACCAGGGCTTAACTCCAACATCAAATAAAGATTGTCATTACTATAAATTGTGCTGTTGCAATTCATCATCCACTTATCACAAAATGTAGGTCTACTGGAATTATCTGACAGAGATTGTATACATCCAAAATCTTATTACAGAGTTGATGTTTTATTGTTATTTATCAAAATTTTATGAACATTAGACATAAGATTGACATTGATAATTAAATTTCATGGAAGAAAATTCTTTATGCAAAGTAATCACTTTGTAGATTTCTGTATAAAATTATTCAAACACTCTTACCAGCAGTAAGTGATCAGCATGTTTTAATGTAACAATTATTACATTAGTTAATTATAACATAAAATCTTAAAGCTGATCATTGGTTTCATGCAGGGAATTGCCAATTTATAATTATATTGCAGGAGGCACAACACTCTGGGAAACTAATGGTCTAAACATCTAGTTATTTTAATTCCATCATAGACCAATTTCCACTGCATTTTGTTCAACTAATATTTTGTCATTTTGTCTGATAATGTGGAAGAATAGTCAAATTATTATATAAGTGTTGGTGATACCAGCTTTTGTAAATGGTTATGTTTTCTCTTCAGTTCTTATCACCCTGATTAAGGACTCCACATTGAGCCAAAATATTATTAAAGATGGACCATCACTAGGCTAACATATGTTTTATTTTTACTATGTTTCATCTTATCCTAAATATGTTATTATCCCTTATTTCTGGTTAAATAGTTAGGTCAACTAATTCATTCTTACCTATTATGTTTATGCATTGAATTGCAAATAATAATAATAAGTAACTTGTGAGTATTAATAACAATTTAATAAAAATATATTTCCCCCCTTAAAATTATTGTACTGTATATTTATACATCGGTTTTATTCATTGCCCATTGTGATTAATAAGTATGTATTTAGTGTGAATTGTGTATTTAGCAACCTAATATAATTGAGCAGCAGTCTTTCATCTAAATAAAGTGTTTCTTTCTTTTATGTCTTTCTCCCATATTGTTCTACCAAAGACCATACTTCCCAGCATCTACATTCTTCAGTTTCATTATCCTCTGTCTTTCTTCGTTAGCCTCGCTACCAGTACAATCTACTTTCCTTTTCAGTATCCAAGTATCCAGCCATTTCACAATTTCCCATAAAACATTATTCCTTTTTCCCTTTCGGGATATTTTTCACTTCTAATTATATCATGTTTTACTATTTCCGTCCTAGAAATTCTTACATATCACCAGTAATCCTTTTCATTCAGTTGGCCATGATTTTATTTGTGAAATTACCCTATATATTCGAGATAACCTGATCATTATTAGTCAATAACATGATATGCATATTCATTTTGTTTTTAGAATACTTATGTCTATTTTGTAGGATAGAATTGTTATCATTATGTCCAATAGCTTTTGCATCATTGTTTTCATTTGCAATCAAGAACTGTCTATTTTAATGTAATAGGCAAAATAATTAATACTCCAGGCTTCTAATTAATAAAAAAAGGCTCATTTATATGACTACAATAAGGGCTATTTTGACTTATAGAGTTAAACTTTGGGGCTTTATTAAACCATCGAATTCCTCTTGTAACCAATCCCCACAACCCTAATCTTTCATAAAATCCTCAACACTCCTTACTTTTGTCAAAAATAAAATCATCCTTAAAAATCTTGATGTTCCATGTGGTAGCTGATTTAGCATCTACATAGATCTAGTTCGAACCCACTTGCTTCTTCTACAATTTCTGATAATCCTGCTAGGGAACTTCCAATATAAAACTTCTATGAGAATACTCTCTATGGACAATCTCTCTACAAGTGTTCGTAATTTTATTATATCATAGCTCGCATGTATTTTTAATATTTTAATTGAGTCGAACATTTCAATAATTTAATAATAAAAAAATTAACTTAAAGATAATTACTTTTGGGATAAGTCATTTTATTTTGGTGTTGTGAAGCACTTAAGTTTTTATCTAATCAGATTTTAGAATTGGTATCGAATAAGAAACGTGAAATATTATCTTATCAAATTTTAATAGGTTTGATGACATCTGTTTTAGGGACTGAATCTGATCAACTTTTGCAACCAAGAGTTGTGAGCTGTCACAAATGTGGGGAAGTATGTAGTTTAGAAACCTTTATGGAACATAACCAATTAAGACACAAGTACAATTATAAAACTAAACCAACCCGAGCCCGCAAATCTAAAAAAAGAAAAAATGTTAGAAAATATGTGTATCCATGTCCTTACTGTGGAAAATGTTTACCCAACATATCACAATTAAAAATTCACATACTCACCCATACTCAGGAAAGACCACATAAATGTCCATTTTGTGACTATCAAGGTAATCAGCCAATTCATGTGGATTGTCACATAGAAACGAAACATCTTAACATACGACGTTTTAAATGTGAATTATGTGATTATTCTGCTAGTACATTAGGTTGTTTAAAGAAGCATAAAAGAACGCATCATATTAGGAAACAAGAGGAGCCTCGTCAGTGCCCCTATTGCGATGTTGTCACACTTAAGCTTATTTCTATGCAAAATCATATTAAAAAAAAACATAAAAAAAAGTAAAATCAACTTTTAGTGTAAGGAATGATGGGAATAATGGAACTTTAAAATAATAATGTTTCATTTTTACGTTTAGTGATGATAGTTACAGAACTTAATTCTGTTACTACATAATGGTTTGCTCTAATAGTAATAACATAAAAAGTATTACAACTTGTTATTAATGTGTAAAATTAAATACTTTATTTTACTCCTAATAAACGATTATATTTGTCACCATACTCTCCCTAATTTCTACAATGAATAAGGTTAATAACAATCTCACCTAGAACAGATATTACTATGTTAAAATCATGCCAAAGTTAGAGAAATACAATGTAGTTTATTAATAAAAATTATGAATCAAACTAATAGGAAAAACTAAAACGAAACAAGTGAAACAAAAAACTTAATTCAGAAATTAAATTATAAATTAAAATTTGGTTTCTTACCGCCAATATGTTGGTTTTTCAATCAGAAGCACTGACATTGTTGAAAGTTAACTATAACTGCAAAACAGTTATGATCGTCAAACAAACCTAAATATGACCAAAAAACAACTAACAACAATTGAAGGTTGAGGCAGCCATACAACAGGAACTGTAAAATTAAGTGCTTACGTGTTCGATGATGTCATAAAAAAAAAAAAAAATGTATATTTTCATTGTAATTACTATAAAGCAAACCCTTGTTTTAATGCAAATATGTTATAATTATTTTTTAAATATTTTATTAGCTTAAAAAAATGTTAGATATTTTTCAATTAAATAAATATTATTAATGTTGTCGTATGTTTTTGTTTATCCTTTTTTTTTGTTTATGACCTAATATGACTTTTTTATTGTATGGTTAATTTTTTGTTTTAATTTATATTTTTTCCTTATTCAGCATTTTGGTTGTTCAGAAAAAGATGTGTAATGAAAATAAAGCACGCTGTTCCAGTAGCTGGAAGACTGATAAAAAATTAAATGTTGGAATGTAAAAAATTAAACACGGAAAGAAAACTAACTGAGCAAATAAGTTTACTTCCATTTATATGGTAGATAAATAAATTTTGGCAAACATACTTTTATTACAATAATCATTTCTTCACTATTTACACTATCTTTCTTATGTACATATTAATATACATATTAATTATTTTAAATAAATCTGTATTGGAATGTATAGAATAAGTATAACAAAAAATAATTGGTATAATATAAAAATGTTACATATCTTCAACAAAAACTTCTGTCATGTAATTAACACAAGACAGAAGTGCCAATGAAATTCGTGCAATGTTAACGATTAACATAATTATTTCACATTAACAAAAAAAATTAAATTCCCAAAACACTAATGATCCAATATATAAATGTATGCCAATAATGGTCGTCACATTTTATCACCATGAGGAGGTAAATTGCACTATATTGTAATAACTACAAATATAAAAACAGATTATATGTACAAAAATTATTAGTTGATTAAAGTATATTAAAAATATATCTCGATACAATTTTATTAACATTTCTACAATTAGAAACATGATTGAGATTATCCCATCTCGTATAGCTATGCCCATAAAATGACCTAAGGCGTAATCCCTTCTGCTAAATATCTACTATATTGAACACAAGGTAAATATTACCTTTACCATTACATCTATAATCAACTGCCTATAAATGTCTGTTTTAAAAAATAAACTTTTATTTCAACATACTATTGACCATAGGGCATTGAAATGAATAAGTTAAATTATACATAACTATGTTTATGACTACAGTTCCAATGGCAGTGGTGGAATATCACTTAATAGTTTTGTAAAAAAAAAAAAAAAAATTGTGAGATAAAACTACAGCAATTAACAGCACAAAGGTTATTTATTAAAAAAAAAATATACTTGTAGATATTAATTGTGTGCCAACCAATAAGCGTTAAACTGCCTTTTAGGCAGTTAAAAGTAAACAAAATACAAATTTTTAACCAAGCTATCTATACCAGAGATCTTTTTTTTGCTATTTCTATGACAGAAAATGATGATTTTCCGCCACTGCAGTTTCAATAAATACTAATTAAATTACATACTGAATGTAATTATATACCATTATATAATAATGAAAACCAAGCTATCATGAAATTCAATCTAAAGCTGCGTTTTCATTGAATTGTTATGAAAGTGCAAAAAGCTAATGACATAATTGGGATACAATAATAAAAAAAAAAAGATTACAGATGATAATAATAATCGTGAATACTTGATTTAGACCAGCAACACATTTAATTTATAAATTGCTTAATAATATGGGGTTCAGACTGCTATTTGAGGTATTAGTACCTTTTATGATCTATATTTTTTATTACATTAATTTCCTTCAGAATATGATGGCTGATTATTAATAAAACAGAGTATTATTTATCATTCCATCATCTACTTTATATTTAAATATATATATAGTATCCGACTTATTTGTTGGTCATCACAAGTATTCAATAGTTTTAACAAAATCTATTCTTCCTCAAATTGTATATAAATTACAAAGATACAACCATAATACACAATATTATGGTAAGATTACATGATATATATCAGCTACGACATGATTATTCCATTTAAACTGATAAAAAAGGCACCAGCTCCTAATAAATAATAAAAATAATTCATTTTATTATTTAATGAATTAAAAATAATAATTTCAAGGATGTAATGACATTCACATGTATGAGTGCAAATTAGCTATACTAAACTACAGACGATTTGTGCTTAGAAAAGTTTTGGAATTGAAATATAAGCCCTGACGATGATTTTAATTAATACAAGAGTATAAAAATATATCACTACAATGAATTCAAATACAGTAAATAAACTACATTTACAGTATTTATTTTACTGTAGATGAACACAGATATTTAGAAATAGGCATTGATGAGGCCAAGTTTTATTCTTTTTGAATGTTACATTTATGCTATGAGGATAATATAATATGACTTTGAATTAATTAGATGTCCTAATTTCAGGTGGAATATTCATCAAGATATCTACTTAACCTTATTCTTTGACTTAATACGCTAATAATGCCTTTAGTTATTGCTTAAAGATTAATTTATCCCCTACTTTTGTTTACTAAAAAAATTTATACCTGAATATTATAAATTACTAAGTACCATGAGGGCTGTCGGTTAAGAAGTAGTTAAATTTATGTTTAGTTATATTTTATTTATTTTTTATTGGATGAAGAATACATATGTTTGGAAACTTGATTGGTAGCAAAGATCGGTGAGTGAGATTTATTTAGTCAAAGGCCTTCAGAAAAGTTATTTCCTTATGGGTCCTTGAAATCTTGACCTATGTAATCCAGTAGTGTGCCATTTCAGCATCTTCAGCAGTCCGGTATTTTCAGGCAACGTATGTAAGGGATAAAATAGTAAAATACAAGAGAAAGCTTTTTCTAACTGAAGTCTTACATTCTATCTGGTTGTCTACCTAATTCCCATTTAATCTATTTGAAATTTTGCTTAAGGTCAAGCAAGTAAACTATGAATATCAAAATTTAAAAAGGGATTGCTTGAAATGATTAGTTATAAATATTCAGTTATATTGTTAATAATTACCGAACTAAGTGTCTGGCGAAATCCAAGTAAGATTGTAATATTGTTTATTAATATTTTATTTTAAGAGTAAATGGTTATTACGATGTGTTTTAAAAATTTGTGTTTAACTTATATTCATTATCGAATCTCAGAAGATAAAAAGCAATCCACAAAATGTCCACGCATTTTGGAAAAAAAAAATTTCCTATTTGGTTGAAAGATTCTTGATGTCACCTAACTTGTTAAATTTATGAAATAATCACAATACATATTAAATAAAAAAAATTAAACTACTAGGGTTAGCAATTAAGGTAAAAGAGATTAATAATTTTTTTTTTAAACGACAATTAAAATTATATTTATACATATTAAAATTTTAAACTGAAATAATTTTAGGAAATGGCATGGGACTATTTATATTTTCGAACAAAGAAACTGATTCATATAAACAAAAATATTAAAATTAAATTTACCTAAGCGGAAAGAATTTTAAAACATAAATCATGAACATCATATTTTTCTAAAGCTATATTAAGTTTATAAAAATATATATGACCGACCATTTTAGTTTTCACTCATTATTGTCATAGGTTTCGTTTGAAAAGTTAATAAACATTTTCAGCATTAAAACTGAAAACTTGCCTGTTTATTTTTTGTCACATACTAATTTTTTCCATTATATTAATCCAAAAAGTTTTCGAGAAAATAATCAATGAACACAACATTTTTAATAGTTATATTACATATACAAACAGACATACGCTAGCTGTTTATCTAGAAACTGTATACAAAAAAAAAAAAATTGAATTTTTTTATTAAATAAAGCTATTAGTATGTTCCCCAGAATATTAATTATTAAAACAATAAATATGAACACATTGTTTTTTAAATGTTGGCATGTTACTATGGAAAAAACAAGAAACTTTATTGAAAATGTTGGTATAATTAGGCTTTATTACAAAAATATTTTTAGTTTAATAAATTGAATATCCCAAACCTACCATTCTAAAGATGTGAAAGTTACTATAATATAATTTAATTAGTGAATATCTGACTCTTTCAGGTTGCAAATAGTCCTTTTTTGTAAAACAAAAATATTTACGTATGCTTACGTGTAACAAGAACCTATTACTAAAATCTTTTATAAATCAAAATTACTTCACAATTTATTCAAATAGATTGAAAAAATAACTGAAAATTTCAACCTCTGAAAATAATTCACTAAATTTTCTGTAAAAAATAATTAACAATAACAATAATATCCATCAGCAAGGAAAAGCCAATTTCAGCTCGAGCAGAGAAAAAATAATGAAAAGCATTTTATAGTGTTTATAGTTTTAATTATGCTAACATTTTACTAATACCTCTATCCCTTTCTAAAATACATGGAATCTTTTAAAAACATACAACAAACAAACAATCTCTTCTATCAATAAAAAAAAATTATTGAAAACTATGTTAAAATCTGAATCTTTTCTAGGTGGATTCTTTTTTTTTTTTTTTTTTTTTTGCAGATCATAAATAAGAGAGTAGAATTCCAAACAAGCATAAAATACATTTTTAACGAATAGTTATCTGCTATTCTGTGTTAAATAAAAACAAAAAGTTATATTTCAGTCAGTAAAAAAATTGATTTGGGAATACCAACATCACCCCTTTCACAAAACACAAAATCAAACTTGCAAATTCTGTAAAATGACTTGACTAAATTTGAAAAGTTTAAACTTAATTTTTAAAAGGTCTGAATATAGACTTGGAAATGCTATTTATATTTGTTGAAAACAATAACTTTAGAAAAAAAGAATAAACATACGTAGTTTAAAATATAGGTTACCAAGATAATAATTAAAATACTATTCATAGTGCAAAGAGTATTTTAAATGAATACACTAATAAATAGCATATCATCATTCATATATTACAGATTTTAAAGACAGCCTCAATACTTCTAATTATGAAACATAAACACCCATCAAATTCAGAGATCACCTGATAAAATTAAGGAAATTGATTTTCATCACTGTTCACACTCATACATGTGATACATCATAAACTGAAAATCCTCAAGACAAAAAAAAAAAAAAATCATTGACCTGACTTAATATAAAAATAATGGTATGATGCACTAATGGTATTATAATAGGGTAGTAGCTAAGAAACAGGACTAGAGAGCCCCGCTATAGAGAAAGCAATAGCAGTGCTGGGTTAGGATGCAAACCTATGTCTTCAGCGGCGATGGCCACGCCTATATTCTTTAACAACTAACTAGGAGCAAGTGCTATGTTATCGCAGGTGTCGGCAAGTTTTCTTCTTCTGGCTGTCCTTTTGCCTTTGGCTGCAATCAAAATTATATTATTAAGATTGTATCTACCTCACATTGATTATTTTTTAATTTTATGGATAAATTTGTTTTCCTTTCGAAAAAGTTCTATCAAAGGATGATTTAATAAGTTATTTTACATTTCTGATGTCCTAATAATATATTGCTGCGGTACAGAGACAAAATAAAAAATGTGTGAATTCTTGATTTTGAGATCCAAAAAGTTTTCACTTTATATATATTTTAAATTATGAAAATACAAGTAAAAAAAAAATATAATTATAAATTCAATTAATGGTATGCTAAAGTAAAAGTCACTAAGTTAAGAGAGACCCTTGTGGGTGGGGCTTAGGCTAGGCCAGGTTATACTCAAAGTAGACCTCTACTTTACACACATTTAACAGACATCTTAAATATTCCTATTTACTTTACATAATTTCTATCACCTGTTCCAGTTTATTAATATTAAGTAAGTTTATTGTTATTTGAATCAATAAAAAAATTATAAATATGTTTTAAATAAGGGACACTGCTAACAGTTATTGTGTAATAAGAACAATGTGCTAAAAAGTGAACAAATAGTTTCTATCAATAAGAGCCATAGAAACTATTTGGGCACTTATTAGCACATTGTTCTTATTACACAATAACTGTTAGTAGTGTCCCTTAAATAAAACATATTTATAATTTTTTATTGATTCAAATAAAAATTAACTTGCAAATTAGAATAGGTTGTAAACTATTGTTTCATTAAAGACCAGAAAGTTTTATAAAATCGTGAGAGAATTTCGGAATGGCTATATAACAAGGCCGGAATTCGTTAAAGATAGTGAAGGCAATCTGGTAGGAGATAAGAGATCTATTCTGGAAAGATGGAAGCAGTTCTTTGCAGAACTACTGAACTCGAACACAGCATTAACAATAAAGACAAATTGCCCCAGAATACAAGAGACTCAATGGTTTTGGAAGAAGAAGAAATACCACCAGAGAGGAAAAAAATGAAATAGTCAGGGCACTTTGTAGTAATAGAGCTCCTGGAATAGACAGTATTACAAATGAGGTTCTAAAATATGGTTGCTGGTGAGGCACTGGTGGAGGAGATACATAATCTTATATTTGTCATCTGGAGGGAAATGAAGATGCCACAGGATTGGAATGTGTTGGTTTTGTCCCCAATACAGAAGAAGGGAGACAAGTTAACCTGCCAAAACTATCGAGGTATTGCCCTGCTGTTCACTCTACAAGGTTCTGTACATGTTTAATAATCCTGCAATTTATCGCACTAAAATCCCTACCCTACCCCTAAGATTCTGTCAGTTGCAATAAACTGAAGAATTATGACATGGGCAGAAAGAAATAATGTCAAATATCAAAGTGGCTTTCAACCAGGAAGAAGCACAATAGACCATATCTTCTCCATTCGACAAATGGTGGAGAAGACATATGAATATACTATTGATCTCCACTATTTCTTCATCGATTTTCACCAAGCATATGATAGATAGACTTACCCAACACTTGGATGTGGTAATATCATCAAGATCTAAAGCCGCACTATCAGGAGCTTTACAGTAGTTTAGAGATGTCGGGAAAAAAAATTGGGTCTTAAGATAAATAACGAAATAATCCAATACATGATATCCTCTAAAAGTGAGGGACCGAAAGGAAATGATAGCATGCAATTGCTCTACTATATTTTTAAGAATGTTGACAGTTTGAAATACCTAGGAGCTTTAGTGACTAGCAAAAATGACATCACAGTGGAAATAAAAGCAAGAACCGCAGCAGGTAACAGATGTCTTTTTACACTATGGAAAGCATTGCGTTTATGAAACCAGTGATGGAAGGCAAAACTACTGGTTTATAAAACAATCTGGAGATCAATTGTCACTCATACCGGTGAAACGTGGGTCCTGATGGATTTTATAAAATTCATTAGTGGTTTCTTGTATGACATTCCAATAATAAACATATTGCATTCTGTAAGTTGGAAATAGTGCTTTTATTAGTTTCTAATAGTTCTCTGATTTATTATAATAGCAAATGTTGGCACAACAAATCTAGTCTAATTTGTGGTAAGTGATCTCAAACGAAAACTGGAATTTTATGAGCTTAGAACTTGTCTTTATCGACAACTTTACATGCAAAGTATAGTGACTAAGCCTTTTCCATAAGTGTAGAAATATGGTTTAATTTCCATACAAACATAACAAAATTATATGTTTATTCACACAAAGCCAGACAATAATTTTGATTAAATTAATATTTTACATAGAAAGTAAGGAAAATATGAATAGAACAAAATAAAGCAATTAGCGACAATTCTGTCAGTAGAAATTAACTTAAAAAAAAAACAGATAAAACACAATAGTCCTTCCCCTCCAACCATTACATTTGAACAAAAGTCTCCATTAACTTGGATAGCAACATAAGACTTTTCCATCAACCTTATCCAATATTGGGCTGTTACTTTAATAAATTAAAATACAGAAATATAAAATGATAGGAAAATGTAAATCAATAAATTTCATTGAATGTTACAAACAGTAACAATTGAACTGATATCTAATCTTACTTACAATAAGATTAGATGAGAGTAACATCTAAATATACTTACCATGATGTACATTGTTGAATGTAAAGTTCTATCTAAAAGTGCAGTTAAGTTTGGTAGAGAGGGATTATCACCAATCTGTGACAATTTGAGTTTTGGAAGAGCTAGGACACCACAGTACAAAGGGTACAAACAGTATCTGAGATCTTTACTGCTCTTTGGTTGTAGATAAAGAACCATCTAGGACACAAATCGACAATCTTAGGGAGAATATGGTAATACAAAAAAAGAAAAAAATTAAATAAATTTTGATTTATTCATTATGGACATATATTATATTATAATTTGAAGAATTTATATTAACATATTAAAAAAGAAATTAGTTAGTGTTTTTTGCATTAGAAATCATTAACGACAGAACAAGGTTTTTCAAAAACAATTTTTTGATAATGGAGGCTCAAAGATAAATTAAATGCTTATTTTTGAAGTAATGAAAATGTTTTACCTGCTTGTGACCAGCAAACATGAAAGATGGAGATGCTTCGACAACCAAAGACAGAGTGATGAGTGAGTGGCTATGGTTCGTCAGAGTATAGGTGACCGGGAGTAAAGTAACATAAGTGCCTAAAGAAGGACCAGTCTTCATGACAACGGTAAGGGGTGTCTCATTAATTTCAATCGGTGGCAGCTTGATTTTAGTTTCAGTAGTAGCATTTTCACCTTCCCTGAAAAATCCAAAGAAAAAAATTAAATAAAAACAAAAACTGATAAAAGTTCATAATTTATTATTTTATGAATTTGGAAATTAATAAAGTAGCAACTGAATCAAAATATTAAAGCTTGTAATTTTATTTTATTTATGTAAAATCAAAACAAAAAAGTAAATATAAATAATTACTCAAAAGCCAAAATTTACATTATATATATATATATATATATATATATATATATATATATATATATATATATATATGTTAAGTAGGGAGCTTTAGTAAAGCTTCTGAATGAATAAGATAAGGCTTGATATAATTTTCACGTATTTTAAAATAAAAAAGCTCTTAATTTGAACTAATAAAAGTTACTTGTTATTAAAACTATATCAGAATACTTTTGAAAGTATAACTCTGAGTTCACTTTGTGAACTGGGAGAGGAGTGTTAAGTAGGGAGCTTTAGTAAAGCTTGTGAATGAATAAGATAAGGCTTTATATTATTTTCACGTATTTTAAAATAAAAAATCTCTAATTTGTAATAATAATAGTACATAAAAGTAAGTATTCAGATATAATTTCAATAACAAGTAACTTTTATTAATACAAATTAGAGATTTTTAATTTTAAAATAAGTTAAAATGATATCAAGCCTTATCTTATTCATTCACAAGCTTTACTAAAGCTCCCTACTTAATATATATATATATATATATATATATATATATATATATATATATATATAAATTAAAAGTATATGTTATAATTATTTATTTAAATAAATAAATTCATTATATATATTTTTTTTTAAATTACAAGATATATTAACAAAATGAAAGAATCCACTAAAACATATGAACATAATAAATTATATTCTTACCGTGCCCAAACCAAAACTATTTCTCCGAGTTCTTCAGATTTTGGAATTCCAGGAATTGGTAACAATGAGACAACATTCTGAGCCACTTCATCTTTCCTCATACACAATCCTTTGAAAGAATCATAGTAATCATCTATCAATTTTAACCATGGACTCTACGAAAATAAAATTTTTACTTAGGCTTAAAAGAAAATAAAAATAATTAAATACAGAAAATTTTAGTCGATAGTTGAATTGTGAATAAAACGAACATAACTTACAATATTAATGTAACTTGAATGAATGGTAATCGGAACCATTGACTGGGCATTATAGACCAATTCTGCGTTAAAAGCTTCTCTCTCGTACAAGTTATCCAATGGTTCAAATCTCAACAGTCCCAAATACTTAATACTCGTGGTGAATCCTTCGATCACATCTATTTTAAAATTTGATTCTATTAAGCAGGCATTGCCGTCGACATTATAACTCACCTGAAAATAACAGATTTTAAATTATAAATATATTGTAATGGGTGTGTAGTCAAAAGTTCTCAATGGCAGCTTATGTACACACAGCTGGTGTGAGCAAATAGAGAGTGTGAAATGGATTCGTGTCAGTTGCTTTCATTTGGTTCCTTTTATTTCTTCTTTCTCTGCTTTAGTTAAAATATGTTTTTTGTTTATCATTAATTTTCTTTAATATTATTAAGCAATAGTATTTCTTATATTAGTCAGTGACAAATCCGTTAGTAATCTCTCACCAGCTGTAGTAGTTTTGTATAGGCCAAAGAGGTTTTTTTTCTCTATCTATTTTCATTAATTGTTTTATATTTTTATGTTGGAAATTGTATTTAGACCTCTCATTTTGCTCACTAGATTTGTAACAAAGTAAATTGTCTCAAGGAAGATTTTATTTCTTTCACTTATACCCCATTAGCACCAAAATATTATAATTTAAATAATTATTTTTTTAAAATAAATAAATTAAATTTGATAAAAATGGATACTAATTGCATACATCCTCTCCATGAGATCAAAATGAAATACTTATACTTTAAAAAATATTATAAAGTCTTGGTTCTCTCTAATCAATTTATTGAGTCCAATATAAAAAAAATCTGCTGTGTCTACTCACATGACTTTCCTACCTATTTCAAAAAAGTTTTTATATATTTACATATGTCCATCAAGAAACAAAAAAAAAATCTGGTGCACACAACTTTCACTTACTGCTCAACTTTGAATAGAAATTATTTTCTGGCCATGTTGAGCTATTATAAAATTTTTGATTTACATTTTTAACTGAACTAAAGCTAAAAGATTGCAGCTAACAAATCATAAATACTATTAAAATAAAAAAAGTCCTATTTATTATATCACTGGTTGATTATGGATTGTACGACTATTAGTAATTAAACTGTTATTTTCCATTGCAAAGTTTACTAAAACGGAATAGAGAGATTTGCATTGTATGCCATAGACAGGTCAAAAGTTGTCACACTGAGTGTAAATGGATTCTGTTGGAATATCGCAAAGGGGAAAATTTATCAAACTGTTCACTAATTTAATTTTCTAAAAGGTTCCATAATGATTTTTCAGAATAAATAAATGATAGATACCTAATGATTTAAATATAATTTCAGACCTTGAGTTATTAAACTACAGTAAATATATTTAAGGTTATAAACGTATCCATTAAATATTTTTATATTTCACTTCTTCTTTCACACAAGTACAATGAAATAGTATCTTAAACAATGTCATTGCCTGGAATCTGTGGGTTTTAAATACTTTTTCAAACTTTAAAAGTTTACATTTAATTTTAATAAAAATTTCATTTAATTTTCTTGAAAACATGTTATTATTTATATTTTTTTCACCACTCTCCGTTACCTTCTACAACTTTCTATATTAGATATTGTTTTTTCTAAAATTCTCCGCTTTCCAACGATATATTATAAGAGTACATTCTAACTTGTATTTCTGGAGATTCATTTTCGACCTTTATAAGCATTTTTACTTTTTTCTCCTTTATTAAATTATAAAATTCTTTCAAAAGTTATATGTAGCATTTTTTCGTAACTTTTAATAGTGAGAGATAGTTGATTATTTAAAATAAACCATATTAAAGGTACTTTAGAGGAAGACGCATATGAACATTGGGCATTTAAGCCCTGTAAAATGACATTAACAGGGATAAGACCTAAATGATATTAAAGACCACTTAATTATACAATAATACACCGAATTTAATCAAAATCGTTAGAGCCGTTTTTGAGAAAATTGTAAAAATGTGTTTCAGCGTTGATATAAAATGGCACTTCTGGTTAGCCGATTTTAAGGAAAAAGTTGTCAGGACATCTAAGGCATACATCTATCTTAAATATGTTATATCAGTTTCGTACGACTTTTCGGTTACTATATATTACATATATAGGTAAGTGAAAGTAATAATTACTTAACATCACAAACATTTTTATTATACCTTAATATCTACAGTCCTAGATTCCATGGAAGAAATTTTCATGATGAAACCTTTTTCAAAAGTTGCACCTGGTTCTATATCCCCGAATGAAAATGTCAAAGGTAAAGATAAATGCTCTCTGGTCTCAATATCTTCAACCTCACCTGTAAATAAATAAACAGAAAAGGGGTAAAAAATAACATTGTCACATTTAACCTATCTATAAATGACTTAATACAATTTAGGATAATCCCTAAATTAGCTACCCCTTATTACCCGGCCATTATAAAATATTTCTTATAACATAGGATGAAAATGAATATATATAACATGCTCTGATCTTTTTTTCCCTAAATAGCTTCAACAAATAATAAAATTTGACAAAATTTTAAACATTTATTTTTATTTAATAAAAAAATAGTAGATATTTGTTTCAATTTTCTCTCAAGAAAAGAAAAATTAACCATTCTTGTACTGTTGTATATAATATATCTTTCAATTTAGGTAATGAATGGCTCAAACTTCATCCCCTTTTATAGAGGATATTGCAATAAATTCTATGCAATTTTTTTTATTGCAACTTATAAGCAATAAAAAGAATTAAAGAACCACATTGCTACTGTTAGCGCAAAAGGTTGTAATTAACAATTTTCCATTTTTATTCTATTTTTGCTAAAGGTGAAATTTTGTAGTCTGCACCTGTGAAAAACAGCTTTATTATGCTAATAAACCATAAAGAAATAATAATCTTTTATGCTCTCCTGTAAAAAAAAAAACTCAATCTTCTCTAACTAGATGGGTAACATTAACTTCTTCAACCAAATATTCTATTGCTTAAAAAAAAAAAAAAATTAAAATCAAGAATATCAACAGTTGTAGATTTAACCTTAGTGTACTATGAAATATAGGAAATGTGTACGAAGGAGATTCATTTTTTTTAACTTATAATAAATTAGATTATAGAGAATGGTAAAATGAAACAGCTGATAACTTACAATCATTTCCTTGAGAAATGCCAAAGCTGAAGACAGCTTCAGTTGCAGTCGACGTCTCTCTACTTTTTAACCTCACTCTTATTGGATACCATTCATTGAATATTGCAGGAGGTTCTGCGTCTATAACCATGTCTATTTCAGCTGACCTTCTTGAAACAACACATGTCAAACATGGCTTGATCTTGCAAAATTCCTTCTCGATATCTTGATGAAGTCTGCAACATCAATTTAAATATAACAAGTTAAAAAAAAAATGATTGCATGATAAAACAAAATATTAATTTTATTTTTTAAATGGGCCGTTAAACTGGCATTTTATGAAATTAGAGCTCTTAAATAAATTAAATCTTCAGCTTTATATATCAATAAAGTTTATAGCACTAACAGTTGAAAGTAAAGCGTTTAGGATTTTAAGTTTTTTTTTTTTTTTTTTTTTTTTTTTTCTTACCCTCCAAAAAGTTTATTGAAACAATTACATATATAGTACACAATAATACAATATAAACATGTAATAAATTCCTTCCACTGCCCGAGGGCATTTTAAGGATTGGGGATAGCTAAAGGTTACATATGTGGCAGAAGGCCTTGTGACTTTGACATTGAACGGGGAAGGACCGTTCTGCTAATGTTTTATTATTTACAATATATACAAATTAATGAGTTTGGACCGCAGAGACCAGACCACATCCTTCGGCGAGTATGTCCACCAAAGGGAGTTTACCTTGCCACCTCCCAGGTCTGGGTGGTGGTGAGATCTCATTGAACAGTGGGTTTGCACAGGCCTTCAGCCCATCAAAAAATTTGATGTGCCTCCGGCCTATGAACTCAGGTACCGAGGGGAGCTGGAGCTCCTCGCGTATTGTTTGATTCTTAGCCCTTTGTAGGGTGGTGCCACGGACAATTCGCCGAAGGATAGAGTTCTGGAAGCCCTGTAGACTCGTAAGCGTGGATTTATATAGGTATCGCAGGAGAGGGGCCCCGTGGAGCAGTGTTGGTCTTATAACAGCTTTATAAATTTGGAGCTTGAGTCTCAGCGAGAGCTGCGGCGACGTCAGTAGGTGGTAGAGCCGGTGCGACTTCTTTCGTGCCAGCTTGATCCTCTGCCTAACGTGATTGGAGAAGGTCAAATGTCTATCTAGCGTGACGCCGAGGTAGACAATCGAGGTAGAAATTTTATGATAAACTCCTCCAACGGTGAATTGTGTGGGTAGATGCTTCTTTCCCTTCTGAAACGACATGACAATAGCATCAGTCTTCGCAGGATTCACTCTGATACCGATCTCTTCTAGCTCTTCAACAATTGTGGCTGAAGCATTCTGTGCCAGAGTGAGTGCAGTCTCCGCGTTGATGCTGGAAGCATATATGCCAATGTCGTCCGCATAGGCTGCTACCACCGCCTTTGGATGCTTGAGTGCCACCACTGGCGCCGTGAAAACGACGAACAGTATTGGCCCCAACACAGACCCTTGAGGTACTCCGCAGGTGGTATCGACTGGGTTTGAGTAGTCTGTACCAACTCGTACGACGAGAGATCTTCCGCTGAGGTAGCTTCGGATCAGTCGGCATAGAGTGGTAGGAAACCTGAACTCTTCCAGACGGCGAAGTAGATGCGTGTGTGACACGCAGTCAAAGGCCTGACTGCAGTCCAAAGAGATGAGCGCCGTAGCTCTGTTGAGACTCATTTCATCTATTGTGTGGGCCTGAAGTTTAGCTAAGTGGTGTTCACACGCGACCCCTCTCTGGAAACCAGTCTGCTCTGGTGGTATGATGCTCTCTTTCCAGCAGTGCTTCATAAGCTGATGGTGGATTAGCCTCTCGAATATCTTGCTGATGTGCGAGAGGAGGCTGATCGGACGATAGTGCTCAGCTGAGTCCCCGTTCTTCGCCGGCTTGAGTAACGGTACAACGATCGCTTGTTTCCATGCGGTAGGAAAGTATGAGATTCGAAGACATGAGTTGAATATGTTCAGTAGAAAGGCTTTACCCTTCCTAGGGAGCATCTTCAACAGTACGTACGGAATCTCATCCAGTCCAGACGCTTTGTTTCCTTTGGTGCGTCGTAGCGTCGACTCCAGCTGGTTGAAGGTAGAGAAGACGGGTTCTTCGTTGGGACTGGGCAGTGGTCCTTCCGGCATTGGTGGTGCATTTCTCGTCCGCTCAGCATCCCTCGCTTCATAGCTTTTGGCCAGGAGTTCAGCCTGTTCCTTAGGTGTCAGCAGCTCATTCCCCGACGTCAGGTGGACAGTCCTCTTCTTGTTAACGAACGTTCGGACCAGTCTCCAGAACTGGCGGTGGTCATTATGAGTCCTCCGGAGCTGGTCATGCCAGAGTGAGGTCTTCCAGTCTCGCATGAGGCTGGCTATCTGCCGGGTCATCGCATTGATGGCCGGTTTCAAGCTGTAGTCACGCGTGCGCTGAAAGATGTTCCTCAGGTTGTTCCTCTGACTGATCAGGGCGAGGATGTGACGTGGTGGTCTCCTGATGGCGTTGGGCTGCGGAGCGAACCTAGGGATGTTCAGGTTGGCTGAATCCTGGATAGTGGTGGTGATGACATCCACCGCCTCGTTTACCTCTTCTACTGTCTGGCACGGCGTTACCGCCGGTAAAGTGGATTCAACGCTAGACCTGTATCCTTTCCAGTCGGCCTTGTGGAGTAAGTATTTACTCGCCGGTGGTTTGGCGGGTGTGCCCTCGATCGTGTAGAGCACAGGCCGGTGATCCGACGGTCCATACGGAAGCGTAATGATGTGCAGATCCCTGGTTAATAGCAGGTCCAGCGTTGATGTCCAATCAGGTCGGGCTGAATGCCGGAAAGTGTGTACACCTGGGTGAAAGACGGCCAACCTAGTCTTGGTAATGTACTTCCCCAGTGGATTGTCGCTACCACACAGCCAGGAAGTGTGTCGAGCATTGAAGTCCCCAAGGACTACATGCCGACCCGTCACCTGGGCATGTTGTAGCAGCAGCTTAACAGATGTCAGTCCAGCCCTGGGTCTCCTATAGACACAAGTGAATGTGAACCGACTCTTAAGTCGCACGTCAACTGTGAGTAAGTGAGTTCCCTCGGTTGGTTCCACTGGGTTCGGGACGGATCTCGAAGGTACATCTTTTCTGACCAGGATGGCTACTCCCTCTCGAGACCCTGGTGCACACACCTCTCGGTATATAGTGTACCCCTGGAAGTATGGACGAGTCGAGGTGTGAAGCATGGTGTCTGTCAACGCCACCACTGAAGGTCTATGCTGCTGAAGAAGGAGCTCGATTTCAGCCTGCTTCTGGAAGAGGCCTCTGGTGTTGAAATTCATGACGAGATGATTAATCATGATGCTTCTTCGTCATAGCATCTAGCATGCGGGCAACTATATCCATCAGCTTGTCCATTCTTGTCAGCATCGTCATCACTAGAGACGTCAGGGAGGCATCGGTACTTGTTGAAGGCTGAGGCGATTGCGTTGGTGCAGTCTGTTCCTTGAACTGGGTGGCGTGCTGGTGGTGGGGATGAGACTGGTGGTGGGGAGAGGTTCCTTCTGATTGGAGCGGCGCTCCTCCGCTTGCTGTGCTGTATGCCAGGCCCTCCTGGACCCACTTACTCTGTTTGCTGGTATTCGTTTTCGTCGGTGTTCCTTTGGTGATTTCCCTAATTTTCTTCACCAACTCCTGTCTCTTCAAGCATTCTTTGGAGGAGGTGGGGTGGGCACCTTTACAGTTTTTACACCAGGGAGTTACTGTCTTCGGGCACTGTTCAAGGGTATGGACACCTCCACACCAGGGGCACGCACATGTTCGGCCACAATATTTCATAGTGTGTCCGTATTCTTGACAATTTCGGCACTGTGCTGGGACCCCATCTTCTTTAAAGATGCTCACACGAAATTTACACTGCGATATATGATAAAGTTTAGCAATGTCTGTCAGCTTGACCGAGTCGTCTGTAATTATCTGGATCAGCTCGATAGGTTTTGGTGGTTCATTCGGGTTATATCTCTTTGTGAGTCTTCGGGCGAGTCTGAATCCTGGTAATCTGGTTTTTAACTCCTCGACTATCTCCTCGACGGGGAAATCAATATCGAATCCGTGAAGCACATATTTTTGAGATCGCTTAGTGCCTCTGGGAGCAAAACTGTGGAATTGTACCCTATTGTCCTGGCGCAACAGTAAAGTGGCTTGAAAGTGGTCATTCTCGGAGTTGACATACAGCCGAGTTTCTTTTGATGATGAATTGATAGAGAATAATGTTATATTATTCTCGATCAGTATATTTTTCAGCGCTGCCTGGGCTATCGGAGGTGCTATGATGATTGGCGGCGGTCTGTTTTTCTCCGGTAGATTCACTCTCAACACGGAAAACTTGTTGGCAATTGGGATCTGGGAAGGCTTTTCCGGGACGGTACGGGCGGGAAACGTGTGTCGTTTGGCTACTGGGGCGTAGCCTTCAATATCCGATCCAAGGCCTTCGCTGTCAGTTTCGTGAATCCTCTTCCCACTTTTATCTTCGGAGGCCTCAGGCTCTGGAATCTCCATAGGAAGGTTCTCATTCTGGTTCGCCATCACGAATGAAGGAAGAAAGGAGGTCCGCTTGTCAGCGCGACGCTGCCCTCACTCGAGAGAGTAACTGCTGAGGTTTGGTCCAAGGGATAAGTATGGACCCCAACAGTATTAAAGGGCGCAAGCTTAACAAGCAGAGGAAGTTAATAGTGGTCTCACGTCACTATCAAAGATAGCAACGCCAAAAATATATAATCTGCGAGAACTTTAATTATATTATTAATTGAAACTTTATGAAACTTTTGATGGGAGGATTTTAAGAAATATGTACAATGTATATGAAGTAATATAGGCAACTATTGTAAGCGAGATAATACTTGAAAATGGATAACTAAGTGTGAAACACAGAAAACAAATGAAATAACAGAATATTTATGAAATATGATGAGTTGAATTTGCTTACAGAAAATAAATAACCATTAAAATCAACATAGAAACATTGAAAAAAAAGAAATTTATATGTATATGTTGAACAGACTAAAAAATAAAAATAAATATTATAACATAATCAATAGAGTAGAAACTATATATAGAATTTTCTAGGCTGATACATTTTTTTTTTTTTTTTAAATAGTGTAAAATCAATGATGTAGTAAGTAGATATCAGTTACAGAATGATAGTTTAAGAGGCAATTTAATCCTAATTCAGTTCACAAATTTTGTTAATTTTTTTTTTCTAGATTAACTGTAGTTCATAATAATACATTTAAAAAAAAAAAAAAAAAAAAAAAAAGAAAAGAAATACAGTAAGATTTAATTACTTGAAGAACGAAAGCTCAGGAGTGAGTGTTGTTGGATCCGTACCGAGACCTGTAAATTTAAGAACAGCACACCTTCCTTCTAAGTTGCCAATGTTAAGCAAAACTGATGTGATCTGAAAAATGTAATTTTTGGTTATTATAAGAACTGCTAAATATTGTGGTTAAAGGATATTACTTTTACAAGTAAAAGTTCTAATATTATTTTGATGATATATTGGTTAAAAATTATAAGCAAAGAACTATGTCAAACTACCACCTGGAGAGTTTTACCGATGTCTTGTGGCTGAGGAGTTAAGGTTGTCGAAAATTCTTTTAATTCTTCACCATTCTTAAACAGAAGATCCTCATTTCTAGCGACAACATGTTCTCGGGCTTGAGTAGCACATGTTACACACAGCTTCAAGCAGTCGAATTGGAATTCCTCAGGTAAAATACTCCTAAAATATTTCAAACATTTGAAACACATAAAAATACAAATAAATATACAATAAGGATTACAAGTTTTAAAAGAGCACTAAATAAAAAAAAAAAGTAAATAAATCTTATATATATGTATATTTAAGGTGAAGCAGTCATGAAGGGAAATAAGTTCTCCAAACATGGTTCGATTTATAGCTTAGTAGTTCGCAGAGTTATACAGACTAGAATCTATTGAGAAAGAGGAAGACAATTTAAGGTCTTGATTCAAGAACCAGTCAAGTCCAGGTCCACAAATTTTAGGTTAGAATCTTATGAACTTAAACAAGACACTGGACAACTCCATCGTTAGGCTTTGAATAAATCAGCAAGTCCAGGACTAATCTTGTTTTTTTCTTAAAACTACTGTACATTCATTAACTTTGGTTCAAACAAGCTATGTCTGGACTTACTGAGACTTCGACTTTTACGCCGTTGTATTACAAATTTTCTATTGGCCGATGATTTATTCTTTCTCATATTTACCACACAGGTGAGGATTGTTATTACTTATGTGCCAAATTAAACAGCAATTTTGTCTACACATAAAAGTGGATTAAAATAAAATTAAAAAAAATTTGGACAGGAAGTCCAAGTTATTACATTAAGGTACTAAACTTAAGATGAACTAATAAAACGTTTTTAATAATACTGGCCTATTGTAAATAATTTGTTAAGAGGTAAATAGGAGAACAACACTAAGATAATAATACTGATGACTATAATACTGATTTTACATTAACACTTTAAAAAAAAATACTTTCACTTATTTATTATTTTTTTCCACTTCAAGCTTAAATTAAAAGAAAAAAAAAACGACACAATTAATGACAGCTAAGAATTGTGAAAGGGCTTTAAACATTTGAAGATTACAAATGATTGCAATTAAGTTCATAGCATTATAAATTTTGAAAAAAAAAACAACTAAAAATTATGAATACTTTTTAAATTTATTTATAACAGACTAACATTAAATGTATATTTAATTACCAATCAGAGTACAAATAACCACAATCAAAAGAATTATAACAACACAACTTATAAACAGACAAATTTTGGTGAAGATTTCCATGTTCAAAGCCATATGGTGAACTAGGAAGAAAGAGCTTCTTGATATAACTAAAACAGATATTGATCATTTTTTATGTATCAGGGATTGAAAAAGGACTATGGGAGGCAAGTGTAATTTGTCTTTCTATAGGCTAATCCTGAAAGGAAGTAATTTGGGACACGTCAAAACTGCTTTATGAACAAGATGAGCAATGTTATCAGTTAAAAACAATTTTATAATAGAGAAAAGAAAATTTTATTTTCTTATATCAACAAAATTTATATATATATATATATATATATATATATATATATATATATATATATATATATATATAAACTGTTTCATTGTTAAAAGTTGCACCTTTAAAAATGAAGAATGAGTGAAGAGAAATTGAGGAAAATCTACTAACAAATTGGAAATATTAAAAATTTATATATTTATTTACTACAAAAATATCAAAATTTTTAAAATTTCCATTATTTAAAAAAAAAACTGTTAAGATAGATAGAAAATAACTTTATTCTGGGACACAGTCCCTTGAGAATAACAAAATTAAAAGATTACATCTGGCCAAAATAAAATTAATGGAAAAAAAAAATAATGTTAATAAGGTAAACATTCTATAGGGTTTTGAATGTGGATATGGATGGGGAATGTCGAATTTTGATAGGGAGGGAATTCCAGAAATTAACAGAGCAAGCAATAAAGGAGTTTTGGAATGGAGATCTGTGAGAAGACATGTAAAGATTAGAAGGTCGAGATTTTGTGGACAGGGAATGGACTGAGGATTTGAACTGGAGAAGGTTGTAGGCGTAAGAAGGATGATGGTTGTTGATGATTTGGTAGAGGAACGTACCTAGGAAATATTGTCTTTGGAAGGAGGGGAAAAGCCACTTTAACTCAGCGTAGTGGTGAAAGACATGGGAGTGTCTTGGGGCCCCGATCACAAATCTTCAGCTGTTCATTAGTCTTTTCAGTCTATCGCGGAGCTCCACAGAGAGAGGAAACTAGGAGTCTACACGTATGTTGAGGTAGGAGATAGCAGAAGCGATGGAATAGTTTGAGGGTGGAAATTGTCCGTCGAGAGATATGAGAAATATGGTGATTCCAGAAGAGGTTTTGGTCAATGAAAAATCCTAAATTTTTAACAGAGGAGTAGAAGGAGATTGGATGTTCATTAAGGTGAACGATGGAAAGTCGGTATGGGATCTAAGCAGGTGCTTGGAAGCAATGACAATGGCCTGAGTTTTGGCAGCATTTAACCTTTATCCATTTAATGTTTCTATGTTTAATGTAAAAAATGAAACTTACCTAATAACTATTTTAATCACAATTGAGTCATATTCATGCTTTTCTATTACAGCTTTAAGTTGAATAGGCGGAGGAAAAAGAGACATGTCTACGAAGACAGGAGATGACGATTTAGCAGTGAGCCATAAATGTTTAGCTTTGGCTTCTTCATCATATGGGATATCTGGTTCCTTATCAGGAACTTGCCCCTGTTAGTAATATCAAAAGAGAAATTTAAAATTGGCTTTAATAATAATTTATGGTTGACTAGAAAATCGATAGTTAAACTTCTGCAGAACTTTATTTTGAAATACTTAGATTAGTATTATTTTATTTGATTCTTATAAGTTGCATGAAGTTTATTGTATAATCTATGCTGTGTGAGGAGTATATATAAAATCAAGGATTTCATATTAATAATAACTAAACAGATCCTGATTCTGACTTCAAAATATTATTGATTTTTTCCTATATGATAATTTATAATATAATTCCTCACATTGTACTGAACCCAAGACCCTTCATGGGTTGTTGGTGGTACAGGTCTTTTAAATTTTTTTTAAAATATAATTTATACTGGTAATGATAAATCTATTTAAATTATGATTAATAATATATTCCATCTTTAAATTTTAAAGAATATTTTTGGTGATCAATACATACCCAACATCAATAACATATTTTAAAATAGGAACTAGAGAATATATTTACCTGAACAACTTTTATCAGGTTATTCATGATTCTTGATGCTTCAGAGATTTTATTAAATCTTCCGATTCCTTCTACACAAAGTTGAATATAGTCTGTTACCGAAGCAGTTAGATAGGATGATGCAAGACCACTTTTTAAAAGTTTATCACCAATGAGGTACCACTGTTCTTGACGATAATCATATAACATATGCATCACGAGCCTGCATTTAAAAGAAATAAAATAAAAAATTAATTCTAACAGAATAATTTTGTTTTGTTATCATAGTATAAATTAATCCATGGTCTGATTACTCTTATAGAGTGAAGGAAACCAAATAGGTAGTGCCATATTAAATTATAAACTTTCTTTTATGAAAATCAGGAATTCACATCACGCAGAAATAAAGCTATCAAATATTATTTGTTAAAATAAAGTTATGCTAGATATTTTTATTCCATGCTATAAAAATCAATAGACAAATTACAACAAAAAAACAGAACAATTTATATCAATAATTGAAAGTAAACTGTGTATCGTTGCTGGCAGAAACTATTAATAAAATAAAAATTACTGGTAAATGAAAAAACCTTTAGAGATGCTTTTAATTATTTATTATTTTTTAAAATGTTCTTTTATTTAATAATTGGGGATATATACAGAACTTAGTCTGAGTTAGTTCATGAATGTAGAGTATATTTAGTTCTGTAGTATATATTTTTTTTAATATAGTTTTTTATTGTTAGATAAATTAGTACCATTCCAAATGGGACAGGTGTATGTTAATATTGGTCTTAAAATTGATCTATATACAGTCAATTTATCTTTAGGCAGAAACATAGATTTTTTATTAAAATAGAAAAACATTTTCCATGCGTTTTCTAATTTTAAGTTAATGAGCATTTTGAATAGGATTAATTAAGTATTAGCCTTAATAATTTTATGTTAGGAGGGAGTACAGTTAGCAATAAAATAAAATTATATAGCTTCAAGTCTGTTTATGTTGAGGTGTAATCTCTATTATGATCAATTATTTTTAATAAACAACCAGGAAAAAAAATACTAACCACCCCCATCAAAATTTGAGATTTTATGTTTCTAGATACATAAGAATCCAAAAATCGAAAAAAAAAAATCCCTTTATCAGCAGCTTTTCTCAGATACTACTGGACTGATTGGTGTAAGACTTAGTATCAATGTCGAAGGGCACCTGAACATTGATGTCTGCTTAAAAACCTGTGTCAATATAGACTGCGGTGAGTAAACAACAAATAAAGAATCGTTGAATCGGACAATTTGGTGCAAAGATATACTATTCTAAATATTTTCCCACACTTTTCTGCAAAGCTGATATCCATTGTTTTGGTTTTTGATTTTTGGAAAGTCTTACATCAATCAAGATTATTGTCTATATTTCTTAGTAAATTACTAATGATGGAAAAAAGATATTTAGGCCAATATTAGGAATCCCCTTTTATTTATTTATTATTATTTATGTGACAATGAAAGTAGTGTTATATATGATGTATAATAATGATGTTCTGAAATAATAAACCATTGTGTAATAATTTGCAGTATTTTTTTAAGATCTGTAGATAATTCAAAGAAAGAAAAAGCCAAATTTTTAGCTGAATCGCAAAAAGCATAGGAGGAACTTCACTAGATGATTTACTTAATAATTTTACAGACTTTATATTTTAAGGAAACATAAGTTGAGTAACAGTATTACTAAGTTTTTTTATGTGATTAGTGAAGGGAGCGGGGCATTGCTTTCTGTAGAATTTTAGTCTTAAAACTGAACCCTTAACTTCACACTCAATATTTTTTCAATCAACTAAAACTTTCATACATCACAAGACCTAGACAATCTCAGATCTAAATACGATAACAATTATTACATTTATCTTAAGAGTTTAACATAATTTTCACCCATTACAAGGCCTAGATAAACTCAGATTTAATCACAATTACAACAGTTACTTAAGTTAATGCTTTACTATAAACTCAGATCTAATTACTATCACAACTGTTACACTTACGTTAAGGCTTTACCATACTCCCGGGAGTTGAAATATTCCTCTCCCATTTGTACAACTGAAACACATGAGAAAGATAATTAGTATCAGCAATACATTTTTTTTATTTTAATAATAAAACTGTTAATTAATCCAACTTCAGACACAATTAAGCTGATACTGATTTTAGTCTTAGAAGAAAAAATATGAAGACTTAATCACTTCTGTTAAAATTGTAAGCAATAATACCTTAGAAGACAAAGATATAGAATGGATTGAGGTCACAGTTTTATTACATGAGCACATTCTCATTCATATTTAAAAAAAAAAAAAAAAAATGAGAAAAAGAATTTCAAATAATAACAAATCCAATAAGGATTTGTTTCGGTTTCAATTTTTTATCCATTAATTTCAAAACTTAATTTTTTATTATGTATTCACAATAGATTGAGTTCCTTAAAGTTTTAAAGTACTCATCATACGTCATAATCTAGATGAATTACATATATTTGATGTAAATCTTATACAAAAAGTAACCAAGCAATATTATAAAATTTTCCAATAGGTAACTCAAAATATTTATTCTTGATTTCCAAGATACATTAGGGTTGTATCATCACATTAATTGTCAGAGTGAAGCTGATAAACTATGAGCTCAGTTTTTTCATGTGATTAGTGAAGGGAGAGGGGCATTGCTTTCTGTAGAATTTTAGTCTTAAAACTGTAGAATAAAAACAGTTTTTCTGTATTTTAATAATTACAAAAAGAATGAATGCTAAAAATTTCATATAAAACATTTTCCAAATTGAATCTAACCCTAAGAAATGATTAGGATCAGATACTCCCTGAAAATTATACAAAAAAAAAAAAAAAACTCAAATAAATCTTGGTAAAGAGTAAATCAAAAATTTAAATATGACCATAAATCTACAAATATAAAAACTAAATTGTTTTAGATGCACTTTAAAAAAGTAAGGTAACTAAATAAACAACCTATTAAGTTTTAAAAATAAATATCGAGTAGCCACATAATTTCAAATTTTAATCTCTTTTATTTTATACCAATTACAATCCTAACAATTTCTAATTTAATTTTAGCTAAATTGTCCTTTGAGACAGATTATAATATTTATCAATAAATAAGTAAAAAAAAAAAAAAATAGCTAAGAAAATACTTACTAAGCCTTCTTCTCATTCTGAAGCATCTATATGTTTTAAATTGAGAAATAGCACTTCCAAGTAAACCAATTATGAGAGACTGAAATATAATACAAATAATTAGGCATACAATTATACAGGAATGGTTTTATTAAAATATAATTTGTTAAAAGATTAAGATCACTTATCCCTTCATACAAATTTTAACAAAGTATACATTTCAGTACCCTAAGTCTACAAAATATTGGTTGATTAAAAAAAAAAAAAAAATGAAATAAAGAACAATAGTACTGATTAGTGGAATAAGAAATAAGAAATAGTAACAAAATAAAAGTGAATCATAGCTAAAACAACCTTTCATATTGGACAAAGCTATATTTGCGAACCATATAAAATATGTGTGGAAGTTGTAGTGAGTAACATTAGCAACCTTGAGTATAGTAGTGGCTATTAAAATTTGGCCTGAACAGATTGAAATTTATTTCACGGCCGACCCACAGAATGAATTTCGATTTTCCTACTCCGGTTAGAATAAGTTGATTATACCTATAGAATAATCCTCATCAGAAATGATGAGGTAGAAAATAAAGGATACAAAAATAAATAAATAAAAAGTAGTACAAGCCATTAATACCTTACAAATTACAGGTAGCTAATGATAATTAAAGTGGTCTGCAGCTACAATCAAATTTCTATTCAAGATATATTTTTAATAAAGAAGTAAAGATACAATATTAATATGAGAAGGAGTTAGTCGAGGGTCAAATAAATAAAAAAATTAAAATATATAAATTATTTTTAATATTATTACAATATTAATAATTGCTCCAAGCATAGGCTTACAGATATGTCAGTCGCTCTCTCTACAAATTGCAGCGCTATTATTCCTAACCTCTCCATGTCAGGATCGAGAGGCTCAGCACTAAGCTTGCATGGCCTCCATGCTCTTTGCCCGTAATATTCTAGCCGATCCCATCCAACTAATGGGTCAGGTTCTGGATAAGCTGTTACTCCCTGCAAAAGTTATTTAAATTACTATGGTTATTAATCTTTATTAGATAGTACATCAATAAAAATTAAAATGTCATTTTAATTTAATAATATGTCGCTCATTTGGCAGACACAAATCATTTCATGATAATTCCAGACCCAGCCTAAACAACTTGCTTCCTCTTAGATTTCCGATAATCCTCCTAGACCTCTGAAAAAAATGGCCTCAGGATCTTACTTATAACTATTTACAATAGAACTTACAATTGGTAATATCTCGAAAAGTCTGTTTATGTCATTATTGTTGATTCATTCAAATTTACTGATTGTATTTAACTAATAAAGTGGTAAATTTCAATAAATAAATTTAAAAAAATTAATGTATTTAAAAGTCTAATCTGTACAAACAATGAAATTATTGCACATTCATATCGAATATCATGGTCACTAATATTGAAAAATTATAACGTTTGCTTTTTATCTTTCTTGATTTATTTTTTAATTTTATCTCTGATTTGCCGTACATAAAACTAATGACTTATCAGTGTCAATTTAAAAAAAATAAAAACGACAATTCTAATGGGTCAGTATTTTTATTTCTTCTAGTAAACAGTATAAACTTTATCAAAAGGCTAAGTAGAATTAGTATTGGTATAACAGATTGACTAAGTAGAACAGATTCGCGGAATACCAGCATGAGCTGGCGAAACACCCATTGCTCTGGTGACCAGTATAGGTGTGAGTTTGGGGATCAGGTTTAGTGCAGAGGACCTAGACATGGTACATCGCTGCAGAAGCAGGAAAGATGACCCATGACCGCCACCTGTCATTGCATGCTTCGTAAGGAAGTCAATCAGAGACGACTTAATAGCAAAAAGAAAAGTTAAGAGGGACTTCTCTAAGCGGGATATTGGTTGGCAGGAGAAAGACTATCTAAATGAAGAGATGACTCCCACCAACAGACACCTCTATTGGCTTGTCCGATAGAAGAGAGCTGTGGGGAAAATCAAATATATTTGGTTTACTGCTGGATGGCAAAAGGAAAATAATAATAATAATCCTCATTTTAATAACTTTCAGCACAACCGGCTTCAAAGGAATATTCTCGCTTCTACACTATCTTTCACCAATTTATTTATTTTTAGACACTTATTTTTTATTTATTATTTCTGTATGTACTTTTTCTTCTCTTATTTTTACTGATTGTAAAAACTTGTCTGTATTTTCTATTTATTTTAGTTACTCTTCACAAAATACTGACTGTTTTCCTCTGAATTCATTTCCATGTCTAGTTCCCTAATCACCTGCCATGTTAACGCTCAATCCCTTCCCGCCCATTATGACGAATCCCTGAAATATTTTACTCAAAATTTTTATCATATTATCGTAGTCTCCGAAACGTGGCTTCAACATTTCATCCCGTTCTCTTCCGCCTCCTTGCCTAATTACACCCTGCTCCACCGCGACTGGATAAGCCGGACTGGCAGTGGAGTTGCCATGTTTCCACAATAACCTGATGACCTGAATCCTCGATTGCTCCACACTTCTGATCATCCACAAGTTGAATACCTCCTAATAGAAATCCTCTGCAATACTTCTCCTCTCCTTTACATCGTGGTATATCGTCCTCCACTTGTTCCATTAAATCCATCCTTCGAATCAACCCTATTCAACTTCGTACCTCTCTATCCCAGAATAATCATCTTCGAAGATCTCAATATCAATTTGCTCTCTAACTCCAATGACAAATCCTATCTTGAAAACCTATTTTTCTCTCTTCATCTCTTCATAGTTCCTTTTTCCCCCCATTAACCACACTTCTAGATCAAATACTTGGTTGGATCTATATATTATTGATTCTGCCCAAAACCTTTTCTCCTCCCCAGTCTCCTTTCTATCCTCTCATGACCTGATCCAAATCTCTCTGATACAACCTAGAACATTTACTTACCGCAACCTGAATTCCCTCACATGTGAAAAAACCCTACCCAATGTCCAATCACTAGATTGGAATAGAATATATTCCGGTCCCTCTATTAACACCATGGTCGACACTTTCACTTCCAACTTCCTCAGCATCCTTGATATCCATGCCTCCCTTAAAACCACTACCCTTTGCCACCACCCTGCACCTTGGATGTGTCAGGAAGTTAAGGATTTGAACTTGACACAAACAAGGATTCGCCGAGCTAAAGCTACCTACTTCCATGAAGCCCTCACATCCGCTCCTGATTCCAAATCTAAATGGTTAATCCTTCGCAAACTTTGCTTCTGTCAACCTTCCAGATCCCCTTCCTTACTATTCTTTCCCGTTTCACCTGACGATTTAAATTCACATTTTATTTCTGCCTCTTCTCTTCCAACTTTACTCCTGAGTCATCATGAATAAATGATGATGACTTTTATTTCTCCCACTGACCTTCTAACTGCTGTAATGAAATCCCACACCAATTCAATAGGACCAGATGGCATCCCATTCAAATTAATAAAATTATGTCTCCCTGAAATCCTCCCAGTTCTCCTATTCATCTACAATGTTTTCCTACAGAATTCAGTATTCCCAACCTCTTGGAAAAAAAGCCATTGTCCTTCCGCTAAATAAAAAGTTTAATCCTTCTTCTCCTGAAGATTTCCGCCCAATCTCAATTCTTTCCAATCTCTCAAAACCCTTAGAAAGATTGGTGCAATCCCAAGTTTCCAATTTCCTTGAAAAGCCCAACCAACTTGATCCTCTCCAATCTGGTTTCCGCCCCGGCTACTCCACACAATCTGCCTTAATTAAAATTACCAGTGATATTCAGACTGCAATAGATGATAAAAAATTAGCTTCTTGATTTCTCCAAAGTATTTGATTCCATTAACCATCCCATCCTTCTCAACAAACTAAAATCACAATCCTTCTCCTCTGTGACAGACTGAAAAGACTAATGAACAACTGCATAAGATATGTAATCGGTGTCCCAAGATACTCCCATGTCTCTCACCACTACACTGAGTTTAAGTTTCTCTTTCCCTCCATTCGAAGACAATGTTTCCTAGGCACGTTCCTTTATCAAATCATTGTCCTTCTTACGCCTACAACCTTCTCCAATTCAAGTCCTCAGTCCAATCCCTTTTCACAAGATCTTGACCTTCCGACCTTTACATTCCTTCTCACAGATCTGCCTCATTCAAAAACTCCTTTATTGTTCTGTTAATTTGTGGAATTCTCTTCCTATCAAAATTCGGCATTCCCCTCCCTATTCCAATTACTGTCACAAAAACAATCAGATACCCACTAACCTTTTATGTAAAATTACATATTATTCATAATGATGAATTTACATATCACTTAAATACTCTGGCAATTTTTATTATCAGATTCGGCTTTATTATTATTTTTTTTTACAAGAAAACATAGTTTATTTCTAAGAAGAATGTAATGTGTATTTTTTATTTATTTTTCTAAAAGTATATATTTATGTTTTATCACAGTACATAGTTTTAAGTTTCTTGATTTAGTTTCAAGTGTTTTGTATATAGATTTTTTTAAATTTTGTATATAGTATGTTTAACTAATGTTTTCTTTAATTATTTTTCTTTCTTTTTAATTTTTGTTTCGTTTTTATTTAGGCCAGATATAATATTTTAATTTTGTACTTTTTTGTTATTCTAAAGGGACTTTGGACCCAGGGTAAAATTATTTTCTATTCTATTCTAGAAAAAAAAAAAGTGTGAACAATACAGTTCCATCACTAAAGTCGTATTTTTCTCTCATGTTTGTTTAGAAAACAGATGAAAAATAATTCAATAGTTCCATTAGTGTTTACCTAAGGAAATACAGTATTCCATGAAGATTAGAACCATGTCTAATATGTTAGTAAAGATCCCATATTCAGCTTTCAGGAGTAATGGATTTTGATAAAGGAGGTTTCAAATGTAAAGGAATTTCATAGAGAAATGACTTATCACTACTCCGATCCTTAAATTCAAACTATAAGGGATGTTGAGACAAAAAGCCATTTCTTGATCGCTGACCAACTCAATTCATATATCAATTTAAAACCCTGTAACTCAATTTGGAGGCACCATAATACCTAAAATAATACTATGGTAGTCTGTTTGACTTAAACTGAGCTTCCATTATTTCCCTTCACTATTTCTATCTGGAACTCACTGCTTGTTGCTTGATTTTTATATTGTCATTATTTCAGTAACATTTACTGTTAAACCTTCACCAGTGTTATTTCCACTTTTAATACCATTATAAAAATTTGTAAGTAATAAAGAGACTTACAGAACATAACTGAAGAGCAAATTCCTTCCTCTGAATTGCATACTTGGCTGCTTGATGATAATAAAAACCTGGATGTTGAGTTTGCGCTGCAGGAAGACCTTGATGAATCATTTCATCAAATAAATCAGCAAAAATACTGTACCTGTAAAATAAAAGAGGTTAGAAGAATGAGGTAAAAAACAAAACAAAAAACATGAAACTGAATTAAATATACCTAATTAACTGTTGACCTTAAAATTTTCCAGATCCATAAAAAAAACTATTCACCTATAGAAGAAAGTAGGAAACTAGAGTCTAACTGAGAAATACTAAGTTTTGAATCGATAAAGTTTATAGTAGTTATATTTAAACATGCCCCATAATGATTCTTTTACATTGGATCCCATCCTTTTTATAAGTAAAACGTTGATTTTTGAGGCTCAAAATTGACATTTTTTAGGTTAAAGAGTTAGATTATAATCAGCTCTTTAAAGCAGCTTTAAAAAAATTGTTCAAATTTATATTTAGCCAACAATTAATCTTTTGTGTTATAGGAAAAAAAGATTTATTTTATTTTTTTCAGAAACTTTATATAAATAAATAGAAATAAAGTTAAAGAGAAAATTGTGGGTAAGTATCAACAAAATCATTAGAGCTATTTCAGTCTATATAAAACACTTTGTTTTGGCTACTGAGCAGCCACCATCATTTATAGAGTAGCCGACTTAGTGCTCATGCATTAAGGGGACGAAATTCTACAAAACAAGAGTTTCTGGTCTTTAGGCTACTTTGCATTCCATTGTGTCCTCTTGGCACTGGAAATAATTTTCTTTTTTCGGGGAATTGTTCCAAATATCTTTAGCAGTGATTGGCAAACAAGAGATGAGCAAAGAAAGATTCAGCCATATTTGTAGAGATGATTGAAAGGCCCACCAGTAGATGGAAGCAAGACCAATAGGAAGGTGGACTATTGGTAGACCAAGAGTCTAGATATGATGACTACATAGATAGGCTGGGAAGAGAACACTCTGGATATACATATGTACAAGAGAGGTAATGAGGATATGCCACATCTAACAACACTAAGAAGATCGAGATTATAACGAAACAATTAATATGAATATCTTACTGCTTTGATAACCAGGCGAAATGCTGAAAAAGAAGATGAGCATGCCCCCTTTTCTGCTTATAATGTTCAATATGAGCTTTAAAATGTGATATTGCGTCCCTAGGCTTGTTTTGACAAAATAATACTCGGCAAACTTTGTAATCTATATAACCTGCAACTGTCTTCACTTCAAATTCATTAGTATCAGACAGTCTTACTTCGAGCAAATTGCTGTAGGCTTCACTATAGTACCTAATAAAAAGCAAAACATACTATTATTTATTGCATTTAATACATTTAGCAAACAAAAAACAAAATATTCTTACGCGTGAGCTGAATTAAGGTCTTGTTTTAATTCAGAAAAAAATCCTAGTTTAAACTGATGTCTCACATATAAATACTGATGAGTTGTTTTGTTCATGTTTTCTCTATGGCTTTTTACTGATCTCATCTCCATCTGATAATAACTTACTGCTAGGTCATAAAAGGCCTTTTCTAAGCTGCAATAATAAATGTAGGTAGTTTGAATACCAATAAATCAACACTATATAAAAATAAAATATGTTAATTACAATTAAGGCATGATCACTCAATAGGAGTTCTACCACTATAACAAAATATTAAAAGATCAATTAATTCCTAATTTTAAATTAAATTTAATAATTCTCAAATGTTTTATGGCATTACAGTATTAATTCTCAATTAAATATTTCATTTAGTGAATACACGGCTCTAGTAAAAATAATTTAAGACAAGCAAAATAACTTTAATGTTAAAATACATACTTTGATGTATAACCTAATAAATGTTCTGTATGTGGTAAAATAAATAAAGCTTTGTAGCCGAGTTCTGCTGCTTGGTAAAGTGCATTGGCTCTTTCAGTTCCCAAAACATCTTCACCAGAAGGAAGTGGTGCTGTTTTTTGGATAAGTACCAAACAAATTTTACAGTTTCTTCCTTCTAAGCTTGATCTAAAATCACAGACCTCAATTTTTTATTAAGTAAATCAAGTTATTTATTTCAAATTCTTGATTAATTAAATGGTCTAGAATACAGATAAAAATCGCCATTATTTTAAATTGAAAAGCGGTTCAGAAAAAATACCTAATTGATCGAACACGTGAAACACATTCACTTTTCTTCTCTTCCCAGTCTGGATCATCCCAATCAAGGTCATAAAAAATAACTATTACTGCTGGAATTTGAGTTAAATGTTTATGCATCCAATTTCGTTTAAGAATTCCTTTTGGGATATGAAGTTCATAGGCTGCTTTCTGCACGAAAACATAATCAAATAATTAAACATTAAAGTATATCTAAGGTGGATCTAAATAAACAATAATAACCTTTGCTTTTGGTTTAGGGAACTCATGGGTTGGAGGAAAAAATTTAAACTGCACAGGGGATCTTTCTGATCTCCTATGGTTGCACATCGCATCCCAAGTAGCTTTATGTAAAGCATTATTTAAGGTATCAAGACCTATGACACCAATTAGTGCTTGAGGATGAACTAATAATTCAGCAGGAAATTCAAATTCTTTGTTAACATAAGACATGGCACTTCTATAATTGTATTTTTCATAAATGACTAGATTCTTCTTTGATAAGTAGTTGAGGAAATTCAAAAGACATAAGACTGTCAAATGATAATTGCTTATTTATACATATAAATTATCTTATTTTGAATAAATCACACAAATCCATCATCATCCATATTAATATAACAAAATTGTAATTAAGTCTTTTCAAGTATCACTGACATATCACGTTAATAAACTTAACCTAGATAACCTCACTACTTTGAAACCTATGTGGAACCTACTATTATTCAGTATGACCAAATTGAGAACACTGAAAATGTAGAGGGAATTTAAGGCCTAAAATGTTGGTGAACTTGGATGTTATCAAGGAGAAGTAAATGAGTCGGGTTCCCTCCGATTCCGAATCACAGTGCCAGGGCCGCTTTTCGAGTGCGGTCGAACCGGAGTTCGTTAGGATATGTTCATGTTTTTCTTGTTTTTTTCGAAGTATTAACCGTGGTTTTATTATAATTTTTAGAATGTGTGAAAAGGAAGGTATGTTATTCTGTTTCTTTTTATTTTTTAAGTTATCTATAAATTTAATTTAATATTCTAATTTAATTTAATATTAGTTTCCTCGGATGTCAAAGAAGAAGGAAGAGGAAACCATTGCATGGGATCCATTAAACATTACGTTAAGAAGAGGATACCAATATTGGAGTGGCTACCAAATTATAAATGGAAAGAATATTTTTTCAGAGATCTGACTTGTGGATTTACTCTTGCCTGTATCCATGTACCTCAGTCCCTTGCCTTTTCTATGTTAGCAAATGTTGATCTTGTTTATGGCTTATATACTACATGTTTTACTGGTATTGTTTATACCATTTTGGGAACTGCTCATGTAAGTTCATTCGGACCCGTGGCGATTGGTTCAATGATAACAGGAGAAGCTGTTAGCTTAGCTAGTGGTAAGGGTTTTTCAAATTCAGAAATAGCCACAACAGTAACTTTTTTGATTGGTGTGATATATATGGTGGGATTTTTACTTCGCTTTGGAATATTTACTATAATTTTTAAGAAAAATTTCATTTCTGCATTTGTTGCTGGCTGCACTTGCCATATATTAGCAAAATCTTTGAAGCTCCTTATTGGTGTAAAAATTAAAAGCCATTATGGAGTTTTCAATTGTCCTCTTAATATATATAATTTTGTCATAAATCTTGGACAAACAAATTTATGGACATTAGGTATATCAGTAGTTGTGATATCTATATTCATAATGAATATGGTAGTCTTTAAACCTCTAGTCGCTAAATATACGAAGATAGTCATACCAATCGAAGCCATTACAATGTTAATTGTTGGACTTGTTTCTTACTTGTGTGATTTTGAGGGAAAGGGTGTCCCTGTTGTTGGCTATGTTCCTTCTGGTCTCCCCTCACCAATTTTGCCTAGGTGGGAGTTATTTCAATCTGTATTAGGCTCTGCAGTCACCACCGCATTAATTAATTTTTCTTCTTCCACATCTATGACTATGCTTTTCAACAAGGGTTTAAAACCAGATCAAGAAATGTTTGCAATGGCAGTAGCAAATCTGATTTGTGCAAATTTCCAATGTATAACTATTGGGAACTCTATGATGAGGACCAGGGTTGCTGTAACATTAGGACTAAAAACACTTATGAGCACGTTTATTGCGTCAATGTTAATGCTGCTCATAATCTTATATGTAAGTACCATTTAGTTGTTTGAATTATTTTATATAAGATTTTCCTACTGAAATCTTCATTTTAATTAATCACTAAAATATTAATTATTTAATGCTAATCCAAATAAAATAACTTGTTTCAAATTTAGAGTTAAATTTTTTTTTTTTATGTGAAAATAATTTTTCGGTTCCCTTTCTAGCATCAGAAAAAAACAAAACTTCTTGAATGAACGTGTTTTCCTTCTTTAGTGATGAAAACGATGTTGATGTGTTTTAGATCAGTGCCATTAATTGCGATATAAGTTTGGATGGGAACTGTGACAAAATTTCTGTATTCTTCTTGCCGTTTAGGTGTTTCTTAAATTAAATGGATAAATTATTTAAATACAAAAATTGATAGGTGGGAGGGAGTATTAAAATAATCTAGTTAGCTATATATTAAATTTTTTTTTTATGTAATGAAAATAAATGAGATTAAAAAAAAAAATTAAGGTGTACAGTAAAGGCTACGTTAATTAAAGTAAATAAATTATTTATGATTAAGCCTGTCATTAGTTATTTGATTTCAGCTTAGTTTGTGTAAAATAATACTGCAAATAATATTTTATAAAGATTCTGTTTCATGTTAGTTCCTAAATAAAGTATTTTATTTTAATCTGTATTGATTTTATTATTAATAATACATTTATTTTGATGAATCAAAACAGTTACATAATAAGTTTCAGTTACCGTGTGTTATTATTTATTGTTATTACCTGCTTAATGCAAAACTTTTGTAGTGATATTGGTATATTAAAGTTGTATTATTAACTTTTTACTAGCTGTTCATAAAATGAAAATTATATTTGGTTTTTCTTTCTTAGGTTGGACCGTTGTTTACTCCAATGCCAACGGCTGTGCTTGGGTGCGTCATTTTTCTTTCAACTTCTCTTCTACTTTTGGATCGTGCCAAAGAAGTGATTCCAATATGTAGGAAATCTTGGGAAGATGCATTTCTATATTGTGCAACTTTTCTAGTAACCTTTTTTGGTGATGTTATGTTCGGTCTTCTTGTTGGTGGACTCTTAGCTCTCAAGCAAATTTTGAAAGATGTTCCTAAAGAAGAAATCATAGTGGACAAAACACCTGAGTCAGAAAAGTTATTGGATGAACAACAGAATAAGCCAAAATTAGCAAGTGTATAGAGGGATAAAGTTTGCTGACTTATGGTTTGTCCGTATTAAAGACAAAATAACTCTTGGGCACACAAGTAAGAGTCTTCTGTATAAATTTCATTTTATCTAAAAATGAAGAAAGGATCTCTTTTAGTTCCTTTAAGGATGAAAATTGATGACAGGACAAATTGAATAAATTTTACTTCTTCGTTCTTTTTATTCATTATGTATTTTCCATGAATATAGATACATAGATTTTTTTATTATCTTGGAATATTTTAATGTTTTAGTATACTTAATATCAATATGATATTTATTGATTTTTTTATTTCATTGCAGTCAGAGTCTTTAAAGTTAGCATTTAATATTATTTATTTTTGAGTTATGGTTTTAAATTTAAAAAGTTTATAGTGTTAGTCTATTTACCATGTTATTATTTTTTGAAATAAAAAGAAAAATGTTCATGATTATGGATGTGTTGTTGAATGTTAAAGTAGAAAAATAAATTATTTTATGAATTTCATCGGAGATAAAAATATGAAGATTTATTTTTATTATAGAATTTTATCTCACTAATGTACTTAGCGTTTTTGCAGTTATTACTGATTAGTAATTAGCTCTCTTTAGGCCAGGAGTAGATGGCCTGTTACAGTATTCTTTTATTTATGTTTTTTATTACGAAAACCAAATATGTTTGTATAACGTACTTAGTTAGTATTTACTTAATAACTTAGGCTGTATGTTTGAGGATTGAAAAAGTGCCTTGTTTTATAAGATATTTTATTTGTAATATAAATAATTATTTTTGTAATCATGGGTGCCAACATTTTTACAAGATGAAGTGAACTGTTATTGGTTTTGTAATTATAAAAAAAAACTTTGTTGATTGTGTATTAGATATTGATATGTTTCATATTGTATTATAAAATTTGTGATCCTATCCAAAAGAAAAAAATCTTATTTATATTTGATTCCAATTCAGTTACTGAAATAATATGTACTTATAGTTTCCGTTGGCCTGTATAAAGTTATAATTAATTAATTTAATTAGTCATACAAGGTATTAGCCTTTCCTAATGTTTTTGTAGCTTTGGAATATAATATAAAATACCTATTTTATTTAATATTTATTTTTTAGGTAGAAACGAATAATTATTGTTTGGTTTAAGTTTATGGTACTAATTTTCATATTAAAAAAAAACGAGAGGTGTTAATTTAATTCTCACTAGTCAGCATATTTGAGGCTCCATCAAACTTTCTACTTAAGAGTATTGTGCAATTATTCATTATATTTGTTTTATTATTTAATTGCACAATAATTGTTTTTTCATTATTATAACTTTTTTTTTTTGTATCTCAGGATTGTAAAGAAACAGAAAAATAATTTTATTTTTTTAAATACTACAAAATATTTATTCATAAATTTCAGCCTTTTATGAACTGTTGTAGGAATGTGATTTGAAAATAATGGTTCCTTGTGATAAACTCATTGATGTGATATTTTGATTTCAGATTTGCAGTTTAGGAAATAATTCTATTTAATTATATTTATACGAATGTATGTATTATATGCATTTCTCTTGAATGCAAGAGGTATTATTGTGCATGTAATATTGAAAAGTAGTACATGTAAAATAATAAATTCCCACTCTACAGGGTTACTGTTGGGTGGAAAAACATAAGAAAGTGATATTGTAATAGTTTTCTTTAATATAAAAAGTTATTTTCATAATTTATGTATTATTAAGAATTGATTTTGAAGAAGGTGCAGAGCATTAGTTAAAATAGGTTGGACATTTTATTCAATAACAAAATTTAACTCATTTTTCGTAATCTCCAAATTGGTTACCGTTACTGCGTTGTTTTATTTTTTTTCGTTACCAGTTACTAATTTGAATGTTATTAATCAATGGATAACTCACCAAAATGTATGGAGTTTTAATACAATAAAAATATTGAAATCATGGGCATTAAAAATCTACATTAAAAACTATCAGAGTTTTAATGAAAATTTTCAGAAAACAAGATTATGTTAAAACGAATTATCATTTGAGATAAGAGAGAGTACATGAATCAATATTGTTAATATGATGGAATAAACAGATATAAAAACCTGAATTAAAAAAAAAACTTACTTTTTATAATTGAATTAATTAAAAAAAAATCACACTAATTTATGATTTACATATATAAATTTGAATAAGGATTAAAAAGCAGTCTCTTAATATCTTATACCATAGTTTTATGTATTCATGGAACAAAAGTAATAAATTTTCATGTTTATTTATTTTTCAATCAATTCAAACTTAATTTGGATTGTTAGTGACAGTGATGGGAAAGAAACTAATCATAAGTAAGTAATACATAATTATTTTCTGAACCATATAGAAACAATTTTTGTCATCATTGCTTATTAAACTTATTAATCATAAATCTATCCAAGATGCTCAGTATTTTATTTATAAATGATAATTTTACAACATTATCATAACGGTGTAATAGAATAAAAATGTGTACCCATTTTCTATAAAATTTCTCCTGAGCTAATTTTTCGAAATTAATGAAACAATATATCAGGAATGGACTTATGAATTTTCCTTCAGTGAATTAAACTTTCGACAAAGCTGTCATTAAAATTAATGCTCAGCAAGAAGATTGTTAATGATCAGGCAGTTTTATTATCTATATTCTGCTAGAAAATGATGAATGGAAAAGATAATAATCCTAGGTTGAAAAGCAAAAATGATTATTGGTTATAAAAACAAAAGCAAAATTAAAGGTATGTGTAAGCAGATTTTCTGTAATTTAAATAAAGAAACAGTATAAATATGAACTTTTCTGTAGGAGATAATACTCAGTGATGAGTTTAGGATAAACAATTATTTTAATAATTGGGTTTAGCCTTCTTTAAAAAACTTTTTTTTTCCTATGCCAGTCATTGGTCATTCGACCATCCGACATCTTGCTGCCCAATATAAGTTTGATTTTTGTATGTAATCATTTACATATGTTTGATTCTTTATACCTGTCAAAGCAGGACATTCGTTTAGGTGGTCTGCATCCATTTCCGCTTGTTCACATAATTTACATCTAGGATCCTCAGCCACGCCTATCTTGTGGAGATGACTTTGTAGATAGTCATGACCTGTGGCCAGATTATGGTTTTAATTCCTTCAACATGGCATGAGTACCATTCTGTAATTGCCAGACCTTGTACAAAAGCTGGCCTGAAAACAACTGGTGCTTTCCATTCCAGTCGTACCAATAGTTAGTGTCTAACCTGACGAGCCCCGATCGACGTAACCTCATTTACTTTGCTAAAATGCTCTCAGCTTCCAAGACCTTTGATTGAATTGTATTATTTCGTTTTCAATGAAAATTTCTTTGATAAATCGAATTTCAACATTTCCGGTCAACCTACACGTTACACTAACTACTTTTATTTACGTTAGAACGTTGACCGCTTCGATTTAAAAGATCCAATGCATTGTTTACCTCATGCTAAGGCTACCGAAAGTGACTTTAGCACATTACTCAACGATTATTTAGGGGTAAATCATTTATATTGGAAAATATTATAGCTTATAGGACGTTCAATTCTACTAATTTAATTACCGTTTAGTCAGAATCCTGCTGAGAGGAAACTGTTGTTTTTCTCCTTCTTGTTTTTGAACTTCTTCCGCCGAAATATAGTGCAAAGGATCATAAACCATCGAAAGACCTAAAACCTGCGATTAAAAGACCTACGAGAGTTCTCCTCATGTTCAAATAAAATCTGAAACGAGGAAAACTTTAGGGAGACATGAAAGCAGCTGGGTTTTCAGAAGGAGAACTAGAAAAATAGATTAACAACTATGAAAATTAAAAGGAACCAATGAAGCAAAGAAGCCAAAAGAGTTAACAGACACAGGAGAAATCAGAAAATATGGCACAATTGTGAAATCTCTACCAACAAAGGCAACCTAGAAGCAGAGATAGGCAGGTTCATTACGATTTGTGGGGAAGGAAAACTCTCGATGGATAAAATTAACATCTGCCATCACCTAATGGCGCGAAAACCTCTACGATGGTGCGACCAAAGTATAATCCGTATGGGTGATAGTTCTAATGCCACCAAGGTGATTGATTGGCAAATGCTGTCAGATCATGAACTTCAAACCAAGTACCACATAATATAACATATGTGGCGTTATTTAGACTTTACACTAGTCTGATGGAAATCGTATTAAAAGAAATTGATGTCACCGAGATTTTCACGAACTACGAACATGATCGTTTGTCCTAGATACCTACTTCCCAAACTCGGTGTGGGAATTAAATGCAATGAATAGAAGGAGTATTTGTGGTAAATTTATTGCTCGGAACCAGTTCGTAGTGATGAAAAATCCATCTGGCATTCATACATTTGCAAATGCAAGCGAGAGATTGACGTGACGCTAACATCCACGAAATGACATAATAAACATATTTTTTTCGATGATGAAGAACGCCATATTCAAACCGAAGTCATTGAAGTCATTCTGTTTTACTTCAATCCTGGGTAATCAATTGTTAATTTATTTTCTATCGATGTATAATCGTAGGTAGTTTTGTTGAGGCGTAATGAATCAGTTTTATCTTCCATATCTTCGGTAACGATTCGTTCGTGAGCGCTTCATCAAGGCCAGAAATGTCCTTGACCTTGGTGTAGCTTACTGAAAAAAAATATATATACAGTATTAAGAAATTAAGTAATGGACCTAAACCTTGAACCATCGGGAAATCTCAACTCTTATTTGGTTAGTGGATTTTATTTTCTTATGATTTGGAATGGAAGTGGCGTTACAATTATATATAAAAAATAAATGAAGAAAATAAGAAAACATCTATTCTTACTCAGTTCAATGTCAACTTCGAGCCAGATGTTTATCGAATGATGCGAGTAGACTCAAGTTAACAGATGTTTTTTTCTACATGTTATTTCTAATATTTAAATAAAGCCTAAATTGAATTAGAATATTTAGATTTTTGAGCTGTTGAAAGAATTATCATTTCAGTAATTAGATGGAGGGTATTTTCTCCGGTGGTTCATGAGAATGCGACACTGGCTAATTTGGCAACACCAGTGCAGCAAGGACTTGAGCGGCCAGCATAGCTGCTCCAGTAAGTATAATATTTGTATATTATTTTTCAAAGGTGTTTTTTTTTTGTGCATGTACGCCATATCTTCATCAAGTTCAACGATAGGACCCTCAGTCTGATCTTTCCCTTCAGGTAGGAAAAAATAGTCATATCCTCCGAAATCACATGAATAAAAGTTAAAAAGGAAAAGAAACTTTATTTGAGAATAACATAAAAAGTGTACATTTTGTCTCGATTGTACTTATGATAACGTGAAAGATTACAGAATCCCCTACATAACAAAAAAAAAAAAAAAAAAATGATCGAAATCGGACAATTTTGAGCAAAAGTGCAGCCTTCAGTAGTTTTAATTTATTATCATGAATGAAATAAAGTGATGAGAAAAAAGAAATGATTTCATCTATCGCATAATACGTTTTACTGACTTATTACTGACATATTTCTTTATTGTATTCTGGTCCTCTGGTCACTGACTAATATACTATGAGAATTATTCACACTGGCCAGCCAGTTTTTTTAATTATTAATTTACGTTTGAATCTGTTAGCCCAATGCTAGTTCGAAAATGTCTAATTTTCATTTTTATTTAGGAGAGATTAAAAAAAAAAAAAAGAAAAGTTCTGAACGTCTAATTACAATAAAATGATTTTCTGAATGATGTAAAAAATATATGTTATTTTGATTTTTTAACCGATCATAATATCAATTTACGCCTTAAAGGTCACTTTCTCCATATTAAAAAAAAATAGGCGTCGCAGACGAAACATTGTCGTCACTAGTGGATCCAGGATATAATTTTGGGGGGGGGGGCTTCAGCCCGAGAGATTTTCATGTACATATAACGATAATTAATTTGAAAAAAAAAGAAATAAATTAATTACCTGTATGAAATGGTGTTTAAGTGGTTCTTGAAGTCCTATTAAATGTAATTAAACGAACAAGAATACTTAAGAGATTAATATTTTTTTCTGTAAAACGTGATTTATTTTACCATTTCGGGAAGGGGGCGTCATCCGCCTGTGTTGTCGTATAGGAAATTATAGCTGTCAAAATTTCTTTTAAGAATATATATATATATATATATATATATATATATTCATTATTTTATAGTTTTTGAGATATTCACTGACTTAAATTGCCTATTTCGGAAAAAATTATTTTTTTTGTCAGACTGTCTTTTTAAAAGCGCGGCATTTCGTTCTACAAGAAAATTGTCTTGTATTGTTATTATCTTTATATTATTATCTTATAACTCTACAACCCCTTTGTTGACTGGACTATTACTTTTACAGAATACTACACGAAATTATAAATCGATATCTGTTGATGAATTCTTTTCTCCCCTCCTCTCTCTCTCTCTCTCTCTCTCTCTCTCTCTATATATATATATATATATATATATATATATATATATATATATATATATATATATATTTAAACATAATTATTTAATTGTCAATAAGGTCACTTATTAATTATTTAATAAACTACTGAATGTTCATTTCCTCTATGTTTATTGACGTTTCGATCCCGGTATTTTCTTTTTATAAGTCAACGATGGGATCCTCTTCAAAGCTAGAATTTGAAAAAATAGAGCTTCGATCAGGCCAGGGACACACCGACAGTCTCAGCACCGTCTACTAGCACATATATTAAGCTACTGTTTGCTACTTTCAGTAGCTTAATATATGTATATATATATATATATATATATTAATAATAATTTTTCAGTAACAAGATGAAGTAGATCTGATTTTTTTTGTGGTTGTCAACGTCGAACCACTCATGTTAGTGTTTATTTGCCTTACTTGTAGAAATAAAAAAACTTCGTGCAATAAAGTAATTATTAATCCTTAATAAGGAGCAAAACAATCATAAAAATGAGGATTATTACCATAATCTTGTTTCAAGTATGTTTGTCTGAAATGTTTCTTATCTTGAAGTCTTTTTTATTGTAGGAAATGGAGTTTTTGAAAGATTATAAAAAAAAAAATAAAAAAAAATTAACGCAATAAAATTCTAAACATAGTCATTTCCTATTAAAAAAGAAAATATTTGTATAGAATTGAAATGGGTTCAATATTGAAGTAACATATTCAAATTTTGTTACGTGATAAACATATTGGAGTAAACACATTGTCATATCAGTTGCTCTTAGTATCGCCTTGGTATAGTTCATTTTATAATAATTATCATTAGTAATTTTTATATACAATATAAACTCCTGAGACTTTTTTTGGCAGGGGAATCCATCGCCCTCCTCCCAAACCAAAATGGGAAATTAGTGTCTACGATCTACCACACAGTAAGACGAAACGCTGGTTGCTCATCATAATTAATGTTTTGGCTATGAGTTCCAGATCGCATTCATTTTATTAAACCTTCGCAAATTTAACAAAGCCTATTTTATCGTGAACGTTTATAAAATACTGGATTATATTTGATTTTTTTTTTGTCTTAATCTTAATGTGACCAATAATTAAATATTGGCATATTTTCTGAGCTAACTATATTCTTTATTGAATAAATTATGTTTAAAGAGAATTCTGGATTCAACTTTCTAGTACAAAAATGGCGAATTCGTTGCCAATAAATAATCTTCTTCAATCAACAGTATCTTTCAATCTTCTTGGAAATATGTAAAACCAGGGATATTTTTTTGGACGGAAGCACAACCTCATTTCTGTTTTTATTTTTAAAGGGACTAGGCCAAAGATCAAATTCTAGAATTAAAAAAAAAACACATTGATCGGTTACATCACTTGATCCAATGATTAGGTTTTTCTTTCTTTTTAATTGAATGATAACTTAATACAAAAGAACAAAAAATAAATAAATAAAATAAAAACTATATAAATTTTGCAATTCTATAAACTCTTGAACCTTATTGTTAATATTTTTAAATTAATTTTTTTTAGGGGCGTCAAGGAGAAATCATTAATATATTGAGGGTAATCTAACGGCATTAATAATTAATACGTATTTAATTTATTCTACAAAAAAAAATCCTGCAATCAAATTTGAATCTTCTATATACTTACTGTTTATTAATGTAGTAATTAATTAATTAATTGTTATTGCATTCATTAGTATTCAAAATTTCCACAATACTGTTATTTCATATTATACAACTATTTAATTTTATAATATTAAAACATCTAATGGTTATTAGTTATAATAAAAATTATCATATTAGAAATTTTCTCATTTATTCATTTGCTGGAATAGTTTATTGGATTCTCTGATTTTTATAAATATATATGAATTTATCTAGTATTGACTGTGAATAAATTAATTTCAAATGTACACAAATTAAATAATTGTAACCTTCATCGTTAATACAGTTGAACAAACGACATGAACATTATCATCACCTAATGATTTATCCGATGAATAAACGTGTTTCAGGACATAATTGGAAAACAGAGTTTTACACCACGAAAATTTGAAAATGAAAAAAATCCCTAAAAAATGATAGTAAGAAAGATTTCTAAACTGCGGCCTTATCATCTAGACAGGATATCCTTATTGCCAAAATTACCATGTATTGTTTACATCACGAAAAGGTAATTATCTGGGTAAGAAATTTTACACTAGACTAAAACGAAATTTTATTAAGTTAGACAAGTAAGAAGCTCATTTATTTGTATGTAATGCTCAACAAAAACAGTTAGTTGCGTAAGTTAGTTCGTGGCATTAAAAATTAGATGCCATAAGTCCGTGCACTCCAAATCCCGTAGATACTCTGCAACATAAAGGAGTGTTAGTGTAAGTCAGGTACTTGAAGTATAGGTGTAATGAAGAATAAGTTGGCGAAAGGTTTTGCTGTGGATCACCAGGGCATACCGGAGCTTATGCCATGATGTGGTGCAAGTATTAGTAGAAGAGGTACCTCTCGTTATCCTCCGGGGAGAAGATAAGTGGAGATATATCTCAAAAAGAGAAGGCTGAGCAGGTCTGTTGGGGAATCTCATGGGAAAATTGACAAGAACTCCAGCAAATGGAAAAAGTTTTTCTGGGGGATTTATGAAGCTGGGTCACAATAGTATGTCTTAGGGACTTGGTAGGACCAAAGTAAAAAGATTCATAGTGACTATTTTGATAAAAAATGACTTAAAATAGATATTTGTGGCACCTGTGCATAGTGTGTTATGCGCAAAAATCATATCTAGGGAAACACAATTGAAAGTTTGAAATTTTCACAGGTGTGAGTTCAATTTTCGAGTTTCGATCCATGATTCACGAAGTAATGTTAATATCTGTAATAGTCGCATAAATTGGCCCATTAGACACAGAGATAGAGAGATTTTCTCTTTCTGGTGATACCCATCAAAATTCACACACTTTTTACAGATGCTACAGATATATAAGTCGGTGTAGTAAGGAAAGCAAGAATTAGTCGAAAAATAAATAAATAAATATATATATATATATATATATATATATATATATATATATATATATATATATAATCTGAGTAAACACGGTAGTAGACAACGAGCGTTGAGCGCCAATGTTTGATGCTTTGATTTCAGGAGTGAACAACTAATCAATTTCAGCTCTTAAAAATTAGGATTTTTCAAAAATATTGGTTTAAACCATAGAAGGGAGCCTTTAAAAAAAAAATTGAATTGAATTCACAAATTATCCGGCTCGATTTATATATAATTTAGCAGTTGAGTATATAGTCCGTGGTACAGACACCTTTTTATTAAAATCCGCCTGAAACATTGTAAATAGCTTCATCTCATAGTACATACAACTATTTTATTTACGAAACTTCTCGGAATTGGGATGTTTGGGATGTCAGGCAAACTTCTGGAGATCGGCAAACTTTGTCTATTTAATTAAGTACTAAAAACTCGTAAATACACATTTGCTTTCCAATTGAATCTTCAGATAATTTGTGCACAAAATCGAGAAAAAAGGTGGCCATAAAAATGTCGAACCGTTTGGCGTGACCTACACACCCACATAATGTCAAAATAACGAGGTTATGTAGGCCAAACGGTCCCAACATTTTTGAAGGCCGCATTTTTTCTCTATATTTTGATCAAATTTAGAATCCAAATGGAAAGCGAATGGTTATTTACGAGTTTTTAGTACCTAATTAAATAGACAAAGTTTGCCGATCTCTAGATTGAAAACATCTTTATTCCGAAAGCTTTCATAAATTAAATAGTTGTAGGTTACGATGAGATAAAGCTATTTACGAAGTTTAAGGCGGAAGTTAATAATTTGATAAAAAGGTGTCTGTACCGCGGACAATATAATAAATTTTAAATGAATATCATGCATACAAAATTTAAAAAGCCTAGGCATAAAGATTAAGATACTGTAAAGTTCCCGTAACATCAGAGATCTTTACATTATATGTATTTTCTGTTTTTACCAGTCTTATGTTATACATATTTACCAAGTTTACTTTCATGATTTTCCATAGAAATCATTTGTGCAATATTTTTTATTTCAGTTGAGAAACATCTCATTGAAATGAGTGATTTATTTAATCATACAAGCAACTAAAAAGTAATTAATAAAAAGATGTCGTGACTTCTTCTATGAATATGTACAAAATATTTTCAGCATTCTGGATCCTGCTGAATGTAAGAGAAGATCCGAGATAGTAGCAATATTGAACTGTTACTTGCTCAACGTGACGAAAGAGTCTTAGACATGATAATTGAACACGTCATTATAATTCTTTTGTATATGCCTAGTTTTAGTAACATGATTTATTATTTTTTATTTGTTCTAATGATTAGTCTACAATAATGGATAACAGAAAATATTTTACTATCCGGACGTCTAGTAAAAATATTTGTAGGTATTAAAGTATTAGTTTAGGGTTGTGTTGCTACTATTGATTCTCAGATTTGCTTTATGAATAACTACATTTTATTATATTTTATAGTTATAAAATCAATGAAGAGAAAACTGTTATTTAAAAAATGTGAATTGTAATGATTGTTTTCAGATGGGCGACGCCAGCTACCAAAGCAGACCCTTGCTGTCCAAACGTCACAAAAAGAGTGAGCGATCCCTGTGACAAAAAGCCGTCAAAAAGCTTGTTGGACCCGTGCCAGCTGAACCCTTCCTTCGCCCAGCCGAAGGTGATCATCATCGGGGCGGGGCTCGCGGGCCTCTCTGCGGCCAACCGGCTGGCCCAGTGCGGCTTCCACAACTTCCAGATCATTGAGGCCACCGACAGGTATTGACCTCAGTGGTGTTCTTTACTTCGGCTTCTAGTAATCCATTTTAAAATTCAACTGGCCAATGCCTGAGGGTATTCAATCTTTTCTAATTTCTAATCATATAATAATGATGACATTTTAACATATGTTGCAGACCTGGAGGCCGAATCCACTCCTGCTGGCTAGGGGACGAGGTGGGGGAACTTGGTGCTACCTGGATCAACTCAGCCACAATAGCAAATCCCGTGTACTCGCTGGGAGCTCAGGAAGGGCTCCTGAAGGAACCGCTAATGTGGCGCAGGAAGCCGCCGGTCAGCAAGATACCATTTCTCACCAGCGAGGGCAGGACGATAGACAGCTTTATCGCGATTCCAGCCATGAAACTGTTCAAAAAGATAAGACAGCAGGCTTTGTCCTTGTTCAGTATGGACATCGCTAAAGACCAAGGCTCTCTTCACGATTTCTTCTCGAAGAGATTGAACGAACAGATGAAACACATCCCAAATGACTGGAGAGGAGATGCATCGAGGGTGATTTGGGGAATGATCAATGGGATAAAGAGCCGTTGGGGGATTCGGATAAGAAATATGAGCAGCGAAATGTACGGTAGCTCTATCATACTGCCGGGTGGTGCCTTGAGGATCCCGATAGGTATGGTCGGCCTCCTTGGCCCGCTCCTCAAGCACATTCCTCCGTGCCAGATACGCTACTGCAGTCCGGTACAAGGGATCGTTTGGAGTAGTTCTTCTCCAAGGGTAACAGTTGATCTCTGTAACGAAAAGATCACAGGAGATTACGTAATCGTAACAACATCTTTAGGAGTTCTCAAAAATATGAGTAATGGCTGGTTCACGCCCGAATTACCCCCCTGGAAGAAGCGTGCTATAAATACACTAGGTTACGGAAAAATGATTAGAATAATTATGGAATATAAAAGACCGTTCTGGATGCTCGGTGAAGGCACAATGAGGTTTTGTTGGTCTGAAAAAGAATTGGATACGAGAGATTGCTGGGTGAAAGGGATAGACAAGATTGAAGATATAGGGAGTCAAAACAAATTGGTGACCACTATAGGTGGTAAGGAGGCTGAGTGGGTCGAAGAATGCTGCGAAGAAGACACTGCTGAAGAAATCACGAGAATCATTCGCCAGTTCACAGGCAACCCGTCCATACCCTACCCCACCGGGCTGGTAAAGTCTAAATGGATCTGTTCGCCGTACTTCAGGGGATGCAATGGCTTCCTGGCCCGAGGCTCGACCATCAACGACATCTGTTCGCTGGGTACTCCACTGCCAGGGCCGGAGAGCCCCGGGGTCCCGATAGTCCTGTTCGCCGGGGAGGCGACGGCCCCGGGGCACATAGGCTCTCTGCTCGGTGCTCACATCAGTGGCATCCGGGAGGCCGACCGCATCATCGGCCTTACCAAGAAGTTCAGGGGCCCACCGCCTGCGGAAGATGGAGCAAATAAATGAATTCGGGCAAATAAATAATTATTTATTCCTGATATGAATTCGTTTAGTACAAAAATTATGACGAATAATTTTAAATACAAACGATACCGTTGGGTTGTTTTCACCACAGCTCAATTAAAGATTCTAATGAAGAAGTCTACATTTAAAAAAGCAAAATGATGAGCTATCAGTTCAAATATATGCTAATATAAATTGAACACAAGAGGTAGGCCAATAAATGAACTTATATTTATCGGTATTACAGGTTAGGATAAGTTCCGGAAAAAAATAAAGTAATAAAGACTTCTATCAGAATCAATCTTGGTGGCTTCTGTTGGTACATGTGAAAGGGAAACATACTTTATGAGTCAATTGAGTCGAGACGCTTTATAACTTTATTGCTACTCCATAAGTTACATTTCTGGGTTTATTTCCGTTTCGAGAGGAAAAAATATATAGCTCGTTATCTTGCCAAGACAGATAGGCTCCTTACCCATGGCTCTTGCGTCAATATAATTATTAAATTTCCAATTCGTATTCCTTGAATAAATTTTGACTAATTCCTTTCTCCAGAACTTTCAACTTGCAAGGGGAGTTTGCAGTGACTGGATCAGCGATTTCAAACAAATCTATTTCGCTGATACTACTTGAATAAATACTACATAGAAAAATATTAGATCCGGGGCATGCGATTCCGATCCAATGGGCTCTTATATAATTTCAAACAAAATTTTTGTTTATTTTTTTATCTTTTATAGCCCGGAAGTTTGGTTTATTATATGCCAGTCGATTCTTTTTTTTTTTTCGTAGAATAAGCAAAAAGTATCGACCATAGTGTTATTAAATGCGTGATATTGTATTATAAATAACAAAAACCAAAAGGCTCTTCCAGTAAAATGGGTCAAGAAAATTTTTGTTATGAAAAAGCAAGTTAGATTCGTTTTTAGTGTCCTTTAAAATTTTTATAGAAGACAGAACCTAAAAATTTTAGTATTTGATTTTCCTAAAGGATCTTTTTTTTTTTTCGTTCGATAACTAACTCATTCATAATTTCTCAGTTTCCTCCAAATCCAAGGTTAGTACAACAGTTGGAGAGCTAAACTACCACACTTCCAACCCGCATCGATAACTTTAGGATTTCAATCCTCTTTAAGCTAGAAATGAAGAAAAACTTCTCAATCATTTTGTTTCTATGTTCTTTGTTCTAATTTATTTTCTGAGGTCGGGTTTTTACCATTTTTAGTAGCATTTATAGCCCCAAAACCTTAATAATTTTCGTGAAATAGCGGATCCAGAATTTAATTTTGGGGGACCTTCAGCCCGATAGGTTTTTTTTTTCGTATATATAACGATAATTACTTTGGAAAAAAGAAAAAAAAATTAACTACCTATATGAAATATTGTTTAAGTGGTACTTGAAGTCCTACCTATTAAATGTAATTAATTACACGAACAATAATACTTTAAGAGATATTTTTTTCCCATAAAACAGTGTTACATTTTTTTGGGGGGGGGGGAGGGGGACTTCAGCCCGAAAGCCCCACTCTCCCTCCCGTAGATCCGCCTGTGTTTTCTTGAATTGGTGAAGTCGTCCTGAATTTATCATAACGTTTGTGGTAGCTGACAAAATTTCGAAGAAGCATTAACTTGGAAAAAATATTGGAAAATTTTTTTAATTGTTGGAATGATATAAACATATCATGAAGAAAACAAATTAGAACCTAGAATATAAAATAAAAATTGTGATAAAAATAAAAACTGAGTTAGTTGATTCCAGAGCAGATGATTGCAGTGTTGAAATATTAAATTGTGAATAAAGGTATACATTTTCGTACTAGAAATATCATTAAAAATAATAATAAAATTGTTGATGTTGGAGTTAGTCAATATGTCAGCTGAAATGCTCATATAAGAAACTCCTTGGTGCCATAGGAATGAACGCCGTGACTTGTGTCCTATATTTTTCGATGTAGTATCAGAAAAAAAAAATGGTTGAAATATGTAACCCACTGACTGTAAGCTCCCCTTGTTAATGCACAAATATATTATAAGAATATAATATTAAGTAATAAGTCGTTGTATCACCACACATAGATATTTTCACACACATAGAAAATTAAAAAAAATTATTGTATGATAGAGATTCTAAACAACAATACTGTGTCCGAGGTAACACTTCGGTATATATTAAAATTTTATAGACTATGAAATACTAATACTAATTAGTTTGAATCTTTTTAATTTTAATATGGATTATTACTGATTATAAATAAAGAATAAAACCAGAAAGTTTGAATTACTAACACTCAATACTTTCAGTAATACTACAGATGCAATTAAATTTTCAATTGCGATGCAATTTTATATTTGTTTAATTACTTCGACTCAACATATATTTTTACTTTCGCTTACCTATATATGTAATGTATAGTAAGGAAAAATATTGCGATCGCGAAAATTTTCGAATCCGAGTTTTCAACGGAAATACACATTTTCAGGTCCAAATAACCAAGTTCTGCAAAATGGTCTGTGTGTATGTAAACAGCCTAGCTCAAAAACGAAAAGTCGTACGAAAGTTAAATTGCGTATTTACGGTTTTATATAGTTCTGATGTGGCAGCAACTTTTATGTTAAAATCGGCTAATCGGAAGTGCCACTTTATATCAACGGTGAAACACATTTTTATAATTTTCTCAAAAACGGCTCTAAAGATTTTGATTAAAATCGGTGTATCATTGTATAATTAACTGGTCTTTAATATCATTTAGGTCTTATCCCCATTGATGTCACTTTACAGGGCTTAAATGCCCAATGTTCATATACGTCTTCCTGTAAAGTACCTTTAATAGGGTTTGTTTTAAAAAAATAACTCTCTTTTATTGACAATAACTTAAAAAAATTGCGAAGTATGAAGTTTGAGGAATATGATAATTAGAAAGCGGAGAAAATAAGAATAATGCTTATTCAGGTTGAAAATGAATCTCCGGAAATAACAGTCAGAATGTATACGTACAATATATCGTTTGAAAGCGGAGAATTTTAGAAAAAATAATATCAAATAAATAAAGTTGTAGAAGGTAACGGTGAATAACGAAAAAAACGTAAATAATAATTTCAGAAAATTAACAATATTTATTACTAACATTACATACCAAGGAATTTTTTAAATCATTTTTTTATTGAAATTTACAACTATATTAAATGATAAATACAACAAGTAAATATCAAACAAGTAACATGACATGTACAACATGAAGAGAAACTACACATTGGTAGCGCTCCAATTATATTTATATATTAAAAGGTTCCGAGGCTATCTTCTTTTCAGACGCCTCGGAGAGTTATCAGGAATAGAAGAGGAAGCAAGGTTGGAAACAAGAGGATTCGGATGGCTCAGAAGTTTATTATAGAATGATAGGTATCTGGATTGAGCTAAATCGGAAACATAAGAAACATTAAGGTCGTTATCGATGATTTTATTTGTGACAAAGTAGGGAGCATTGAGGATTTTACGAAGGATTTTGGATTCTAGAGATTGGATATGAGAGGAATTTGATGGTTTAGTGGAGCCCCAAAGCTCGTTCGGATTTTAAAACACGTTTTAAAAATGGTCCATTACAAAGGCTTGTTATTGAAAATTTAAAAAATCTGGTGCGCGCAACTTTCACTTACTCTTTGAACTTTGCTCAACATTAAAATAACAAAAGTCCTATTTATTATACCACCGGTTCATTATGGATTGTACGATTCGTTGATTATGGATTGTACTACTATTAGTTATTAAACTGTTACTTTCCATTGCAAAGTTTATTAAAACGGCATTAAGAGATTTGCATTGTCTGTCACAGACAGATCAAAAGTTGTCACACTAATTGTAAATCGATTCTGTTGTAATATAGCAAAGAGAAAATTTATCAAATTATACACTAATTTAATTTTCTAAAAGGTTACATGATGATTTTTCGGAAAAATATATACAAATTAACATTTTTTGTTTGAAAATTAAAACACCAATATAGATGTTGGCTCAATTATTATTCAAAGGTTCTTTTTATATTAACTAATTATTGGACGAATTAGTTTCGTATAAACGAAATCTTAGTTGTGAGGCCTTGATCGAAGAGCACGTTTAGACGTTATCTACTTTCTAAGACGTCAAATATTAATGACCGCTAAATAATTGCTTTTGTCATGTTTACAGATAAATAAGGCAGGTAAAAATTAAATTCGAGTTAGTCCTACAGTTCTTTGGTCTGTAAAAATTTAAGCATAATATGAGTGTAAAAATAAATATACAACTAGTTACACTAAACCACAGGCTAAAACTTGCAACATTGTATAGTAGATATCAAAACGTAGCTCCTGTGATAAAATCGCTTGCTCATACTTTCTCATATAAGAGAATGAGTAGAGTGAACAGGCTACTTAGAATAAATTTATTTTTATACTATTGTCTGGCCATTTCATACTTAAATCTATTTAACATAAATACGATAAAGTTAGCAATTAATTTCAGTCATTACAATGCATTGAATGAGTGTAATATCATGAGTTCGTTTGAGGTTTCCTGATGAGGTGTTGATAAAACCGGAATATTCTCAAGAACAATTTGAAAACAAAAATATCCTCACAGCGAAGAAGATATCTTTAGTTATAAATTTCGATTTCTCAATTCAAAAGTTATTGGTATTTGTTTTAAATTTTAGTTACTCTTTTTCGTCCGTGGTACAAACCCTTTTTTATCAAATTATTAACATCCGGCTGACACTTCATAAACAGCTTCATTTCATCGTAACCTAAAAATATTTTATTTACGAAGATTCTCGGAATTGGGGCGTTTTCAACCTGGAGGTCGGCAAACTTTCTCCGTTTAATTAGGCACTCACAGCTCGTAAATACCCATTTCCTTTCAACTTGAATCGTTAGATAACTGGAAACAGCGTCCAGTCCAGAAAAAAGGTGGCCTTAAAAAATATTGATCCGTTTGACATGACCTACAATCCAAAATTGTCAAAATAACGAGGTTATATAGGCCAAACGGCTCAATATTTTGGAAGACCACCTTTTTTTTTCGACTTTGTGCTCATGTTATCTTACGATTCGAGTTGAAAGGAAATGGGTATTTACGAGTTTTTATTAGAGGTAAATTTACTAGTTAAATGGAGAAAGTTTGCCGACCTCCAGATTGAAAACGCCCCAATTCCGAGAATTTTCGTAAATAAAATATTTACGTAAAGATGAGATGAAGCTATTTACGAAGTTTCAGCTGGATGTTAATAATTTGATAAAAAGGGGTCTGTACCACGAACTAAAATGTTAGTAAAATGTTTATTTCTGCAGTTTGAAATCAACTCTTAAATTTAAAATTTTCTAACTTTTTGGATTATCCTTGTTATTTCATTCCTTGTAGTTTTTAAACTGTAATTTTAACTACAAGCGGATCCAGGATTTAATTTTGAGGGAGGAGGCTTCAGCCCGAAAGTTTTTTTTTCATAAAAATAACGATAATTACGTTGGAAAAAAAAAAAGAAAGAAGCTAACTTCCTATATGAAATGGTCTTT